TTATATATATATATATATATAATATAAATTCAATATATAAATAATATATATATAATATATAATATATATAATTATATATAAATATATATATATTTATATATTAATGGAGGTATCCTTAGTCAGTAGAGGAATTTCCCCGCTATGACGCCTTCTAAATAATCACAAATGATAGTGACATTAATGTGTGGATATATATATATATAAATATATAGGATATAATATATATAATTATAATTTTATATAAAGAATATATTAATACATATTATTATATATTATATATTATATATAATAATATATATATAGAGTTAATATTATTATAATATATGATATTATATATTAATAATTATTATATATATATTATATAAATATAAAAAATATATATGAATCTCTCTCGGGGGGGGGGGATAATTTATTATATATATATATAATGCTACAGTAATTTACTGTAGCATTTACTAAAGCATGAACAGTGATTCTTGGGTCCTCCTATAATTATAGAGGAATAGATGTATTATATTAAATATTATATTATTATAATAATATATTTAATATATTAATCTTATATTAATCTTATATTATAAGCATTAATACATCAATATCCAACCTACATCCTCTCTCAATTGTAGGATTTCACAAATTCTAAATAATAATAGTTTTTTATTATTTGGGGATTCAATATCCCAAAATTGGTTTTGAAACAAACATGGTTTATGGAATTCTAAAACCCAAAAAACTTGTAATCCACCTTATATCCCAAAAAGAAGTTGAAACAAAAGAGATGATTTCACAAATCCTAAAAATATATTAATTTTTATAATTTAGGGATTCAATATCCCAAAAAAAAGTGAAACAAACAAAGTTTAAGGAATACCAAAACTCAAAAAAGCACTTTTTACATCCCAAAACTTGAAATCCACCCTATATCCCAAAAAAAAGTGAAACAAACACCCCCTAAAAGTATCGTATCCATCTCTTTTCTTTTTTCTTTTTCTTTTTCCTTTTGAGGTGTTAGTATAAAATGAATTTCTTCCTAATATTATATTTTTTTTATTGAATAAAGTGATTGAATAATGGTCAACCACGAATGTGGTATCCTCTCAACGTGTTTTCTTTAAGAAAGTTTTCTTTAAGGGGCTGTTTGTTTGCCAAAAAAAAAAAAAAAAACTGACTGTCATAGTTTTCTTTAAGGGGCTGTTTGTTTGCCAAAAAAAAAAAAAAAAACTGACTGTCATGTCAACTTTGAGGAAATCTCCCCATCCATATCAGCTTTTGGTTTCAACACATTTCCATTTCACATGTTTGTTTCATTTTTTTATTTAAGGAAATGTGGATGTCACTTAGGATTCCATGTCACATTTCAAGAAATATGTTTTCACAACAAAAAGCTGTGAAAACACTTGGAAATGTCACATCAATGACTTTTTAATTAATAGAAGCACTATTGGAGAGTACCATGATGAATAAATTCTTTTTTTTAATGAGTCATTTCTCTTTTCCTTTTTCTTCTTGTCAAACAAACTAAAGAAATGGAAATAAAAAACACTGTTACTATGGAGATTTTTTTTGTTTTTTGTGTGACTTAGCAATGAAAAGAGGAGGTTTCTTTGTGAAACAAACAAAATAAAAGGAAACTGAGAAACCTCTTGATATGTGTTGAAATTATTTTCAAAGAGGGTTTTCTATTTCCGTTTTTTTTTTTGGAAATAGCCAAACAGCCCCTAAGAACATTGTAGGTACTTTTAAGTTTGGATTTTTTAAAGGACCGAGGTCGAAATGCTACTTTACTTGCTTAACCATAAAAAAGGCACGATGGGCCCCATCTGCAGCCTGGGTGGGAATTTGGGTGGAGCAGAAAATTGTCTATAAAATTATCGTATTTTTATTCAATAAAATTGTCTAGAAAATCCAGGAGCCAGTTCTTTTCCCCCCGACGAGGAAAATTAACAAAAAACACCTTCGATTTTACCATCTTTCTTTCTTTAGACTTTAGAGAACTGATGATGATGGGGGTCTCATCACCCTCTCCCTTTTCCCAAATCCCCCAAACCTTTAATAAAACTACCCATTTTCATCATTATTTTCCTATTTCTACCCTCCCCTCTAATTCCAACCTTAAAACCCTAAAGAAGTTTAATCAGAGGAGTGCAGTACAGTGTAGCAGCAGTAATGGCAGACCTGGCCCCGGTTCAGGTATAAACTCCCAATTTGATCGATTTCTGTAATTACTAGAGATTTTGATGCCTGGGTTTTGTTCTGACGACGACATGAAGGCTGCACGTTTGGAGATAATTAGACACAGAACAGTTGAAATCAAGAACAGGGTTTTGTTAATTTGTTGATTTTGGGAATTTCTGAAATGATCACACCCTAGGATTATGGAGCTTAATCCGCACTATCAATTTCCTATCCGCCAAAGTTTCTTGCTGGGTTTTGTGGAAAACCCTTTTATCTTGTCTATAAGTTTTCACTGCCAAGAATTAGACATCATCTACTACTAGCAAACTGTGTAGTTAAAGGTCCTTAATATGGGAAAGTTTTGTATCATGATAAGTTGGTCTTTGGTACTTGTAATCAACAACCCAAGATCTGAGAAGAAAAAGGCATTGCATACCCTTCGTCTATTACCAAGTGAAGTCCCGTGAAGTTTTGTTATGTAAAAAACTTCACGGGAGTTCTAACTCCTGTGAAGTTTGGGAACTTTTTTCGCCAAAAACTAGGTCGGTTTTGGTAAGTAAAGTTGAAACATGTCGTTTTTTAAAAATAAGTTTCAAAAAGTGTTTGTTTTGAAATTTTGTCCTTTAATATGAGTATATACATTTTAGCTAAGATTTGGGTGTTCTGAGCATGCTGCTTGCATCTTCAGAACTTTAGGTTACTTTCCCCTTTTTTAATGGACTGTGATGTTGAATAGGTGAAAATGACAGCAAAGTTGTTTTGGATGCATTTTTCTTGGGCAAGGCTTTTGCAGAAGCATTGAATGAAAGAATAGGGTCTACCGTGGGGGAAATCTTAAGTGTGCTTGGTCAATGGCAGGCTGAGCAGCAAAAACAGGTGCAAGATTTTCAGGTATTGTCACCAAGCTTTCACCAGTACAGCTCATATGCCGGCTGGTACATTTTATATAATCAGGCGGTCATTGTTTAGAATGGGAAAATAGGATTTATGTAAACGACAAAAAATTATTTTTTTATACGGTCTTTTCGTAAATCCTCTATGGATAGGATAAATAAGCTTTCTGTTCTGAACTTCTGAATCTTTGGAAAGCTTAAGACGTTTAAATATGAATTCAGTAAAAAAAAAAATTTTGGACGACCCCCGCAAGTGGCCTGGTGGTTAGGGCCTGGGGCCTTGGATCAAAAGACCAAGGGTCGATCTGTGTTTATGGGATACCTATCCCTACTTTCTACTTATTAGGCATTGCAACGCTTGTGCTATTCACCTGGGTTTGGGGGGCCCTAGGCCCCGGGTTTACTTGGATGGTAGCCTGGTAGTAACCCAAGGTTCCTTGCATAGAAAGAGGGAGAGGGAGGGAGGGAGGGGTAGAGGGGGAGAGAGAGAGCACATTTTGTTTTCTTTGGAAGCAATGCTTACTTGGATTCTCGAATCTCCCACTACGAAATTGATTATGGGAATCTAAACTACTATTCTATATGGAAGTGTGATGAACCATAGAGGCTTAATAAATTTGTAAGCATGTTAAAAAAATTTCGCACACCGGTTTTTTAAATTAGAAAAAAAAGACTTAAGGCATATATGAAAAGCTTTTTCAAGTCTTGCATGTGTTAAATGTATGCAACTGGTCAGGGTTTCTTTTGAGTGATTGGCAAATTTGGATTAGACGGTTGATACTTGTTGCAGAATCTTAATATGGGAATATTTTTTTGGCTGCCAAACTACAAATGGTTCTTGATACCTTGTGTCTGCCAGTATTACATTTGTCTGATTGCTAGAATGATTTAGACGTTTATTACTTCTTTCTAAATTTGAAACCACAAGTACAATTAACTGATAGAATATTTCCTTTGCACAATAAACTTGGTTAATTAGCTCATATATTAATTAAAATACCTGAAGTTCTCCGGAATCTGTATTTTAATTTTATTACGTGTAAATCTTCTAATTTATCTTTACATAGCATGTATACTTAAACAAAAATAATTTATTTATTTTGAACGAGTGTAAGCTTTGATACTCAATTGATATCAAAGGCTCATTTCTTATGAATTGCTTTAAGCTAGTTATGAGACAATGTCTGTGCATTTTGTTTGACGTAGTGTGAATAAGTCTTTATGCACTTTCCACTTATGTAAATAACAATAATTTGGTATAACAGAAGAATTATTAGTGCAGGAGGAAGTATTAGGGAGAGCTCAAAGAGCCAAAGAGAAAGCAGCACTTGAGGCCATCGAGAGTCGAGGCCTCATTCCAAAGTCGTTACCAAAACCTCCGACTTCCACAACGCCGATTACTCCTTCCTCCTCCACAGGTCCTACGACTAATGACCCTCTTCAAGAGACACAGAAGGACTAGCTTAGTTGAATAACTTTGTATTGTGATACAAACCACTGTACTTAGTGTTATCTTTAAAAGTAACACTGTTTGCACACTTGTCCTTGATATATGTGCATTAGTATGTATATAGTTCTCTCTCAAAACTATTAACATATGAGAACTTTGTACCTATGTTGAGAATTTAAACTGCATATAATGAAAGTTAAGAGGTTAACTCACGGAATGTTAGCTTATTTACAGTTGTTTGAATGATGGTGTTTTACCGTAAATTCAATTGTTAATATTCTTTCGACTTTGTTTTTAAATTCATTATTGTTCATGGGGGTTAGCAAGACAAGCAATGGAGCAGCTAGAGGTGGTGATGATAATGGGAGAAGGAAGAGAAAGTAAGATTGATTTGTTTTGCCTTAGAATTTGTAGTGATGACAGTAGTAACATATGCAAGTTTCCTACAGTGGTTATCTCAGCCTTCCTTTGGTGCGTACCTGCAACTACCTTCACCTTTCGAACTGTCTCTCTACTTATTATCTACAGAGATTTTAGGGTCCACAGTAAAAATCTCCCAACTTTTCTCAGTTTGTTACGTCTTTAAGAACCATGAAAATACTGATGTGCCGCTCATAATTCTTCAAAAAGAAAAAAAGGAGAGGATTTGAAAGAAAGTGATAATACATCATAAATCTATGAAAGTACAACCAAACAAAGGAAAACTCAAACACGAAAATGATAACTCGCCTTCTATAATGTGATATAAATCCTCAACTTTCACATAAATTTAACACACCCAAACCGGCGCTTAAGGTATCACACAACCCCATTGCTTATTTATTTTCTGAAACAGGTTGACAAATACAATTGGCTCTCTGCATAAATCATTATCATAACGTTGTTAGCTATAGCACAGCCTCTAGTGCTTGAAGGATATCGGCCTTCAAATCCTCAAAAGGCATCCACTCCGAAACTGAATGTAAACAGGCTGTTTTCAATCTCATTCGCCTACCAGCAGTTTGTAGCCACTGTTCATTTGAAAAGGGAGATCAGCAGATATTGCCAACAAAAAAATTATCTTGTAATTGAGGAGATAACAATCAACTTCCATTGCTTCGTTTAACAAGTATCAACTAGAAGTCGAAAATTATATGAGACAGGAAGCTTATTGATATTACATGGAAGGTTGGATAACACTTACAGGTATCATGCTTGATTTAACATGAATCCTTATATACATTTATACACATATTCAAATGCGTACTCAATTGTACAATTGCATTTTAATTTAGAACACTCTCCATATACTCCTAGGATGTGTACCCTACACTTCACACGCACTTCTTGAAACTTGTTAGAGACTGATTGATTCGTTTTAGCTCGTACCTAGTTCAGAGCTATATGATCCTGAAAGGGTCTTTTAATTCTCTATTCAATTCAATCTACATAAATGAAAGAAACATTAAAACGATATAGAAGTTCTAATTCTCATAACATATGAGTGGGGGAAGAAATATCGATCTCATGTAATATGCATGTATGCATGCACGCATGCATACGTATAGCCATATTTTCATACTCTTTACCTTTTACTGATTTGTCTTGCCTCGTACCTTGATCTGTGCCAGTATGTAGGTCGGACTACTTGACTCTCACAACCTCCAGAGAAGTGGGAAACATATGGTATTTTCAGATAGTAAGTGAACTTGTCCGCGGAGCCTCTGACTACCTACGTCACAAAATATAGCCAACAGTTTGATATGAAAACCTAAAATTGTTGATTGTTGCCATAAATGATGGAGATGCCGTAAGATGGCTGACCTTGAAACTGACGGCACCACCAAAACCAGTCATTTGTTCCCTGGCAATTTCATGGTCTGGATGACTTGGCAAGCCATTACTGCAAGTATCTTCAAATAATTTGAATTGACATTCCACAAATTGAAAAGGACCGCACCAGATTCTTGATTCGCATAGAATGTGAAATTCTGAATAAAATGGTCCATTGTTCTATTGGTGTCCTGACGAGCCAACGGTTAAATTCATCCAAAGAACTAATTATCTCTAAGAAGCAACTCCAAGCAATCTTTTTAGCTGAAGATTACTCTATAAATGCTTGCACTTTTGCAATTACTTCATTTGTCGTTTTAGCGATATTACCCTGCTCAAAACTACCGCTTGTATTTACAAGCAACGAATTTCAACGAAAAAGGGAAATTTCGAGAACCCTTGTTCTCAACTAAGTTCTTTTTTTTTTCCCAAAAATGAAAATATAATTGACTTCGTATGGTTTGCACTTTTTCTCAAGTAAAACACCTTTATTAAGAGAGAAATAAAAGATAAGATCGCAAGTGACTTTAACGATACCTCCAGAAATTGTCGATGCAATATCCTATAAAGATGAAACGACCATTCAGTTAACATACATAGAAAACAGCAAATCGGCATGCATATACATGAAATTTTAAGATCAGAAAATGTTGTGATTACCAATATATCTATATATTTGCTCACCAGAAGAATAGAAACACCAAAAAATATGATGATAATTCCGCATCCTTGAAATCAGTTCCTCCGGACCACTAACACAACCTCCTTTAATCTTGGAGGAAGCTGAATCTTCCACTCTAAGCAAAGCAGTAATTCAATGAATAAAAAAAAGGAGAGATTTCACTCACATGAACAGGCCCTGCGATAACCTCAGTTATAGAATGGATAGCTAGATCAGCCCCCAAGCCTAAGGGCTTCTGGCTGACTGGTGACGCATAGGTAGAACCTATACGAACAAGTGGTCCTTTTGCTATGGAAAATCACACCGAAATCAACTTTGTCACGCCCCGGGGCGCGTGCTAACCGTGGGACCCACTGAAGCAACTCGATGTTGGCTAAAGTCCACTGCCAAAATGCTAGCACTAGTTGCTCTTGGGCCCTGGACTTCTCTATTTAAGCCACTAACATTTCTTCACACTAATCCATGCGGGACTAAAGTGGGGTTGTCACAAACTTGATGCTGACGCATAGTTAGAAACGTATTAGTTGGAGACCCGGTGAAGAAAGGAGGAGACCCCCTGAAGAAAAGGCATTTCATCGGCTACAGAACAACCAGCAAAACACAATGTGTACATTGCTATCTGCCTTAACTAAAATCTTGAGAATACTGTAAATGGCAAGAAAGCGAGACCATGCACTTATAAATCTATTCCGAGAGAGTCCCATGTCAGCAGGGTCAATGCCGGTGACGTGCACGTGCACATGCACGAGACATAGTTAGTAATCTAGCCTGCAGATCCAATCACAATCCTATTGGAATTAGGACACTTGAGATGGTGAATCCATTGCTCAAAGAAGAAAGAGAACACAAAAATTTACCGAAGTTCCCCTTTTTGCAGGATTCATTTCAATCGACAATATAATATCATGGTAGCAACCTGTGAGGCACGAGTACTTCTACTGCCTCTGATGCTGTTATTTCTGGCCATGGCAGATCTCAAGAAGAAGAATTAGGAGAGAAATTGAAAGAAGAAGAGAAAGATAGAGATATGAGACAGAGATAAGATGTATCAAGATAGGAAGAGAACTGATTATTCATTTCATATCATATTCCTTGTACGACACTGTATTTATACATCTTGTAATTGATATTTCAGTCTGTGCACGTGCACAGCAGCAGTGCTGAACTAACTGTAACAGAATGTAACAGAATATGGACATTTAGTTACATACAGTTGATTGTAACTATTTATTACAGTGTGTGATCTTTATGTTCTCTTCCTTTTGCATTCAAGTCCAACTATTTGTGTATCAGTTGCATATCAGTCCATGTGCTTCAAACTGAACCTGCACTTAGCCTATTCAATGCTCTTGAGCTGCAGCACCTGACAACTTCCCACCCCTTAAATTTGACCTTGTCTCAAGGTCAAAAGTTGGAAATCTCTTGACTAATTCCCAGTAAGACTCCCAAGTAGAATCCTCAACTGGATGTTGTTTCCATTTGACTAGAATCTGGGGAATCAAGTGTCTTCCTTTAATCACTGTCCTCCTGTCAATAATCTGTTCAGGTTCATCAATTATTTCAGTCATGTAAGAAGGAGGATCATCTTGAAGTAGCACCTCATTTCCAATCATTTTCTTCAGCTGAGATGCATGAAAAACAGGATGGATTTTAGACTGAGGAGGCAATGCCAATTTATATGCAACTTCACCAATTTTATCCAAAATCTGGTAAGGGCCATAGTATCTAGGAGAAAGTTTGTGGGTTTTGCAAGAGGATACACTCAGTTGCCTGTAGGGTTGTAATTTGAGAAAAACCCAGTCTCCCACAACAAAACTTCTGTAACTGCGATGGTTGTCAGCATATTTCTTCATTTGCTCAGCTGCTTTCTTCAAACCGTCTCTAAGGAGTTGCAAGGTAATATCTCTAGAAAACAGAGATTCATCAACAGCCTCCACTTTACAACTTTTAGGGATATAAGATAGTAAAGAAGGAGGTTGTCTCCCATATACCACTTCAAAAGGAGTGGCCAAAGTTGAGCTCTTCCAACCTGTGTTATACCAAAACTCAGCGAGAGCTAACCATTTAGTCCACTCTTGTGGTTTATGACAGCAAAAACATCTGAGATAGGTCTCCAAACTCTTGTTGGTAATTTCAGTTTGGCCATCAGTTTGTGGATGGTAAGCTGAACTGAATTTGAGTTTACTGCCCTGCAGTTTAAACAACTCTCTCCAAAAAAGACTAGTGAATAGAGAATCTCTGTCACTGACTATTGATTTTGGTATGCCATGCAACTTAAAAACCCCTTCAAAAAACACCTGTGCCACTGATTGTGCTGTGAATGGACATGAAAGGGCAAAGAAGTGTGCATACTTAGACAATCTGTCAACCACAACATAGATAGCAGTTTTATTCTCACTTGTTGGCAAGTGTGTGATGAAATCCATGGATATGTCCTCCCACACATAATTAGGCACAGGTAAAGGTTGTAACAGCCCTGGAGAGGCTACATTCTCACCTTTTGCTCTCTGGCATGTGTCACAAGATTGTATATAATGCTGTACATCTTTTTTAATCCCCTTCCAATAGAAAGCTCTTCTTAGTCTATGCAAGGTCCTAGTGATCCCAGAATGTCCTGCCATGGGACTGTCATGGTGCTCACTTAATAAAGAGTTTTTGATGTTATGAGTAGTGGGACTTATTAAAAGTCTGCCTTTGTAAAAATACATTCCCTGTTTCTTACAGTACTTGTCAGTATCCAGCTTTCCCTGAGACATCTTTGCATCCAAGTCTTGGAAGAATTGGTCTGTAGAATACATGAGTTGAATATCCTTCAACCAATCATTACTAAGTGTTGTCACAGCTGAAACATGTACAGAACAGTCTGGCCTTTCCTCTTCATTTTCAGTAATTCTGGATAATCCATCTGCTGCTCTATTTAATTTCCCAGGCTTGTATTCAACTCTATAATCAAACCCATGCAACTTGGCAAGCCATTTATTTTGTATCCCAGTATGAATCCTTTGCTCCAGCAGGTATTTGAGGCTATGGTGGTCAGTCCTGATTACAAAAGACCTGCCCAAAAGATATTGCTGTCATTTCTTAGTATAAAGGATAATGGCCAAAAGTTCTCTCTCATATGTGGACAATGCAGTGTTGCTTCCTTTCAAGGCCAAACTAAAATAAGAAATGGGTCTGTCCTGTTGCATTAATACTGCCCCAATTCCATAGCCAGAGGCATCACATTCAATTACAAATGTTTGACTAAAATCTGGTAGAGCTAGGACTGGTGGTGTTGTGAGTGCTTTTTTCAATTCAATTACAAATGTTTGACTAAAATCTGGTAGAGCTAGGACTGGTGGTGTTGTGAGTGCTTTTTTCAATTCATTGAAGGCTTCCTCAGCACTAGTATGCCACACAAAGGCTCCTTTCTTCAAGAGTTGTGTCAATGGTCTGGCCATCATACCAAACCCTCTAATAAATTTCCTGTAGTACCCTGCCAATCCAAGAAAACCTCTCAGTCCCTTCAGGGTTTTTGGCACAGGCCATTCAATAATAGCCTTAATTTTGTTAGGATCCACATTGACCCCTTCCTGTGATACAATGTGCCCTAGATATTCTACTTGTTGCTGTCCAAAGCTGCATTTAGAGAGCTTAGCCACTAACTGATGAGTCTTCAGAATCTGGAATACTTGTCTCAAGTGCACCAAATGCTCCTTCCATTCTTTACTATACACCAGAATATCATCAAAGAAGACTAAGACAGATTTCCTCAATAACTCCTTAAATACAGTGTTCATGAGTGCTTGAAAGGTCGAAGGGGCATTTGTGAGACCAAAAGGCATAACCATAAACTCAAAGTGTCCACTGTGTGTTCTGAATGCAGTCTTTGGTATGTCCCCTTCATACATTCTAATTTGATGATAACCTGATTTCAAATCCAGTTTAGTGAAAAAATTTGCACCATTCAACTCATCTAACAACTCATCAATCATAGGAATAGGAAACTTGTTCTTAATTGTAGATTTGTTGAGAGTTCTGTAGTCAATGCACATCCTCCAACTCCCATCATTTTTCTTAACCATCACCACTGGAGAAGAGAATGGACTGTTGCTGGTTCTTATGATTCCTTTGTCCAGCATTTCCTCCACTTGTTTCTCAATTTCATCTTTCAAAAAATGAGCATGTCTGTATGGTCGAATGCAAACTGGTTTAGTTCCCTCTTCCAAAGGAATTCTGTGGTCTATGTCTCTCTGAGGTGGTAGTTGAGGTAATTCTTGAAATACACCTTGAAACTCTTGTATTAACTGTTGCATATCACTAGGTAAATCTCTAGTAACATCCAGTTTCCCAGGCTCCTGTAGAGTCACACTGCATAATTGAATCAGAAATCCTTCCTCTTGCTCTCTAAAAGACTTGTCAATAGTCTTTTCATTAACTAACTGTAGCTTATCAGGAATTATTCCCTGTAAAGTTCTTTTTACTCCTTCACTGATAAAGGTGACCTGTAGTTTCTTAAAGTTCAAGGTAATATCCTCCAAGGTTCTCATCCAGTCTGCCCCTAATACAATTTGGCTTCCTCCCATTGGCATAACCAGTAAATTAGTCAGTATTTGCACTCCTTGGCAATCCAACATGACTCTCTGACAGATTCCAGCTCCTCTAATCAACTCACCATTGGCCACCAGAACATTGAACTCCTTAGATTCTACTACATTCAACCCTAGCCTCTTCACTAACTTATCATTGATAAAATTATGAGTAGACCCAGAATCTATAAGGATACTGACAGCTTGATTCTTATAATGACCCATCACTCTTATGGTATGAGCAGCACTGATCCCATTTAATGCTTGAATTGATATAGAAGGAGCTCCTTGCATCCAGTTTCCATCCCTTTCCTCAGCCATAATTCCTTCCCCTACTGCACCACAGTCCTCTTCATTTTCTTCCAACTGTTCATCTATGACCCCATCTAATATATAAAGTTGCTTTCCTTTACAATTATGCCCCCTATGCCACTTTTCATCACAGGTGAAACACAAATTTTGACTTCTCTTTCGTTGTATTTCCTCAGGAGACATTTTCTTGAACTGAGTAGTTGGATGAAGATTTTCTTTAACATGTACAGGGTGATGTGTGTTGGCTGTGTGTCCTCCGTGATTGTACACATTCCAATTACCTTTAGACTTCCTGTCATTTTTTTTGCTTTTCTTCAAATAATTTTGCCAAAGAGACAGCTTCCCTCAAAGAACTAGGTCTTGCAGCCTTTTTTTGCTTTTCTTCAAATAATTTTGCCAAAGAGACAGCTTCCCTCAAAGAACTAGGTCTTGCAGCCGCCACTTCATACCTCAATTCTTCTTTAAGACCACCAATAAATTTTTCAAAAATGTGTCTCCTAGAAGGTTGATCATTCAATAGGCTTAAAGCTTGTTCAAATTTGCCCAGATAATCTCTAACTGTAGCGGTTTGCCTTAAAGAAGAGAAAGCATCATATGGTCGTGAGAGTTCATTTGGACTAAACCTCGTAATTAATTCTTCTTTAAACACATCCCAATGGTTAAAATTCTCAATGTTCCTAGCAAACCACCTGTACCATTGTAGAGCTTCACTCCTCAAATAGAACGAACAGACTTTGACCCATTCATGAGTTTGAATATCATAATAATCAAATATTTGTTCAGTCTGATCTAGCCATGATATTACATCTTCAATTCCAGAAAAGGAAGGGAAATCCAAGCGCAAAGACTTTGGTTGAACTAGTTTTTGGTTGTTAAAGAACGAATTCTTCTGAGTTGAGAGATTACCAAAACTGTGAGTTAGCTGAAAATCCTCTTGGAAAACAGATTCTCTTTGATCCTGGAGGTTGTATCCTTGATCAAAGCTTTTCTTGCTGGATTCTTGAACCCTTTGCCTGAAGATATCTCTGTCATCCTGTGATCCTGAACCTTGAATTCTGCGATCTTCCCTAGGTCCTGATCCCAAGATTCCTTGGTTAGTTCCCTCTCTTTGCCTGGAAATCTCCCTGTCATCTTGTGATCCTGAACCTTGAGTTCTGCGATCCTCCCTAGGTCCTGATCCCAAGATTCCTTGGTTATTCCCCTTTGAGTTCTTGAGTTCTTGGATTAAGATTTCCATCTGAGAAGCTAAGCCATCCAATTTTGCTGAATTCTCCTCCAATCTTGTAGATGTTTGCTGGTTGATAGAGCCTTGTTGTTGAAGAATTGCCTTTTGTTGTTGAATTGCATCTTCTACTCTGAGAATTCTCTCATTTGCAGTCATTTCTTCAGCCCTTGTTTCCTCATCATTGCCCAGGAATCCTTCATCAGCAATTCCTTCTCCTAAATGCTCTGATACCAATTGTGAGGCACGAGTACTTCTACTGCCTCTGATGCTGTTATTTCTGGCCATGGCAGATCTCAAGAAGAAGAATTAGAAGAGAAATTGAAAGAAGAAGAGAAAGATAGAAATATGAGACAGAGATAAGATGTATCAAGAGAGGAAGAGAACTGATTATTCATTTCATATCATATTCCTTGTACGACACTGTATTTATACATCCTGTAATTGATATTTCAGTCTGTGCACGTGCACAGCAGCAGTGCTGAACTAACTATAACAGAATGTAACAGAATATGGACATTTAGTTACATACAGTTGATTGTAACTATTTATTACAGTGTGTGATCTTTATGTTCTCTTCCTTTTGCATTCAAGTCCAACTATTTGTGTATCAGTTGCATATCAGTCCATGTGCTTCAAACTGAACCTGCACTTAGCCTATTCAATGCTCTTGAGCTGCAGCACCTGACACAACCGGCTTTTGAATTTTGGAAATCTAGCCCGACAAATTTACATTGTGTTTTTAGGTTTTTTTTGGAAAAAATCGTTTTTTTTTGGGAAAAAATCGCACCTTTGGGTGCGTAATACTGGAATTTAAATCCTAATCATGTCAAATCTTTTTTACCCCAAAATTCCCTATCTTTTCTCAAAACTTCTACAGAATCAAGCGATATAATAATATTTGGAGAAAATAACCCATTATATGAAAAAGATTCTTACCTCACGGGGTTCTCCAAAGTTTTCAGAAACCCTAGACAGAAATTTCGTGAGCAGAGAGATTGAGGTTCTTCAAGCCTGATTTCGAAATTACCGCCTTCGCTCTCGAAACGAATCGCAGAAAGGGATATTTTACATAAAAACCCTTATGGAATTAGGGTATTCGACCCAGTACAATTAAAGGGTTAAGATAAACCCCTCAAGAGGTTAAAACAAGACAACCCTCTCTAAAGTGAGGATTACTAACTCACCTCCTCGAACTGAGTTAAGAGATATCCTTCTATTCGTTAAGAAAACAAATATTACCCAATGGGCTAACAAATTTAATCCTTCGGGTTAATAAATAGGCTAGTTTGCTTAAATGTTCCCTTTAAAAACACAAGACACATAGCGACCTAGCAGAGGGCGCATACACACTAAAATTGGAACTAAGCGGGTTTCAAAGTAAACCAAGGTAACACTCAGGGTTTATAAGCAAAAGTCCCTCTTCTTAAACCCCCTTCTGCGCATCAAAGGCCTACACCTGTTCAGATGAATTAAAAAAAAAAAGTATATGTAACTCAGAAGTGCTAGACAAAGCTATAATTTCAAGAAGAACCACGACATACATTCCAGAGTCACAAACATACATACTCCCCATATTCAGGTTAAACATTTTCTGCAGAGACATTTTCACACATTTTAACTCTTTTTTTTTCCTACGAACAAGAAGCCCAAATTTGTTGCATCAGTTGTTTTTTTTTCGAGAAGGAATTTCTTCGTTGACCTTCAAAAAGATCTCCAGACATCATATTTGTGACGGCCTCGTTCCTGCTTAATATCAAAAGAATGAGTTTCAGGTTGCAGCATCATGAACTTCGGCTTAAAATACTCAAAAGTTAAAACTAAAGAATACACTTCATCTCTTTACCTTCTATGACTTACTGTTACCATATATAGAACCCGACAAAAAATTGCATAAAAGAGAGAGTTACATGAATTGCAGAAACAGAAAGTTCTCAGAAATGACAAAGAGAGAATAAAGACTGCAGTGAAGAATCTGCTTCTGCATTCCTGAAATATCTGGAATCAGTCTTCAAAACTAATCTATGAAATAAAATTGTTACTAGAGGTTAACTCGAACATGCAATGAAGGTTAATATTGACAAGAACTTCCTTTTTTTTTTCAATCATCAAGTGAAAGAAGATTTATAATAGCCCACCAAACCACATTACATTTTTGCGACACATTCTATGTCAGAAATTTCTCACTAGTAGCTAACCAGTGTATCTTAAAGAGCCTTCGACTTCCATAATCAAAATGCCACACAAGTTTAATCTAACTAAAATTAGAGAAACTATTTGATTTCCCACCCATACCTAAAATGCAGGAATCAAAACCTAAATAATCCAAGCCTCTGAAATAAGGTGGAAATTTAGAAGCGAAGAAAAGTTTTGACCAATTCATATTCCAGGCTGAAATTTTTCTGATCAACAAGCAGTTGAAAATCACATTGCCCTGAAAATTTCTTTACCAAATGGTAACCAAACACCATTTATGTATACAATTCCTCTGGCTCCTCTTTAATGAGGTCAAATCAGTAAAGATATCTCTATGAATCTATGTTACCTGGGTACTACTGCCTTTTTCTTTCTGAAAACGTACCTGTACCCGTATCTGAAGACGAACCCGTACCCAACACGTACCTACACCCATACCCGCACTGAAACTTCATGGACTCTCGTCGCATATATGGATACAGTTATTGATCGTCTACTCAATTATGTAATACATGTTTCAATTTATTTTTTTTTGGTCAATGAAAATTTTAATTCATTTTCCAATTGAGAATTTTGTACAATATCACCATCAGCTATAGCTGAGAACCTCAGCACTCATAGTGCATACACAAAGAGCTTATATACAACAATCTTACAATTCTCTAATTCTCTCCTCTAAGTGAGCGGGATATTTTTCATTCATGATCTTCGAGAAAAAAGAGATCTTAATAGCTTTGAACAACATTTCAGGTTGCATAGATTTCCCCTGGAAAATCCTAAGATTCCTCTCTTGCCATATGAAGTACACTGTTATACCAAAGGTCAGTCTCTTTAAATTTTCCACAAACCCCCTCTTATTGAGCCTGAGGCTGAACCAGTGTATGATACTATCCCATATGCATGATTTCCAGCTGAAATTCATCCAAACCATCACCATGTTCCATACAGTGGATGAATATTGGCATTCAAAGAATAGATGGTGACAGGTTTCCTGAAAATTTGTACACAGCACACATTGATTTGCATTAAGAATACCCATCTGACATAGCCTATCTTGAGTAATCAACCTTGATTGAACAGCTAACCATAGGATGAAAGAATGTTTGGGATAATGAATATTATTCCAAACTGTATTAGCCCAGTGTACTTGCTGTGCAGGTTGCACCAAAAAACTGTACACAGAAGAAACCTGAACTTTATCACCTACACATGACTTGCCAATGATAGCAATCAGGTTATTTATGTTGCCAAGTTTAGCAATCAAAACATCTCTGGTTTTTAGAATCTGCTTCCACATCCAGGAGCTATTTGATTTAACCTGAACTTTATACATGTTTCAATTTAAGAAACTCATCATACGCTTCTTGGACATATTAATCTTACGCTTCACGTCCACTTTTTAATCTACATAATAGAAGAAACATAAAATGTAATAGGAATTTAAATTCTCATTACACGCGGATGGAAACATAATATTGATATCATGCAAGTTATTGATTTAATATACGAACAAAGTCGTGTCCTCATACCTTACCTTTCACAAATTTCTAGATGCATCAAGAGGGAGATTCTGAAATATTTACTACAAATAACCAAACTCATTATTTTACTTAAGCATAAGACAATCTCAAGTCTTACTTTGATAAGAGACAAAAATATTGCATGATAAACATGTAACAGGGTTGGCAAATATGGATACATACATCCATGGAGACATAGTCACACTACTGATAGTAAGATGGGCTGTCTACGTGTGATAGTGAGATGTGTTGTCTATGTGTGGATAGGGGTGGAAGTGAACCGAATAATTAATAAACAGTTCGGTTATTATTCGTCCAGATATTCGGTCAAGTTTGATTCGATCGTTAATTTAATACTAAACAAATAATTTTTAGTATTCGGCTTATAAATTTAACCAAAGGTAAGTTCGATTCGGTTGATTATTAACTATTCGATAACTTTCTACAATTTAGTCCTATTAATTAAACTTATTGCAAATATTACCTATCTAAATTTTTATTTACAATGATTACCCCATATAAATACTTAGGTTGATGGAATCATGGAAGAGAGTAGAGCTTGGCCTTCCTTTCTTTTTCCACCTCCAGTGTCCAAATCTCTCTCTCTCTCTCTCTCTCTCTCTCGCTCTCTCAAACTCCGCCGACAGATTGAGTGCTCTCTATCAAGCTCCGCCATCTTCCCCTCGCCGGCAGATCGAGTGCTCTCTCTCAAGCTCCGCCCTCTTCCCCTTCGTCGACAGAGCCCTCCCGTTGTCTCAAGCTCCACTCTCTTCCCCCTCGCCGGTTGAACCTTCACACTCTCTGACAGTCTCCCTCGGCCTTCGCTGATTTACCCCTTAGCCTCGATTTTCGACGGTCTCGGTCTCTTCCCTCTCGAGTCCGACTCTTCATCTCTGAATCGAGCTCTTCATCAGCACTTCAGTCACCTCGGCTTCACCATCGGGATCTCCATTAGTCGTTTCCTCCCCAAACCCGACGAAACTCCATCAGCATCGCCTCTACTTCTCCAACCTACGACCCCTTCATCAAAATGTAAGTTAAGGCTTAAAGTTACAATTTTTTTTTAATTTTGATCAGAGATTTGATCTATCCATTTGTGTAATGATTAGGAATTGTTATGATTAATCCTACAACTTAAGTCCGGTAACTTTGGGCGCTGACTAAATTCTCTGATTTGTGGACTGTGGGAGTAGATTGAAGTTAATTCAGCATGGTGCATTCTAATAAAAATGAATTACTCAGCTATCTAGCTACAACTATACAATCAACAGTTGTGGAAACTTGACTTAGCATTATGGTTCTTTTTTCCTAATTGCTTTGTGTAAAACAAATATATGTAGTGTGTTCAACAGTATACTAAATAATGTCATCTAAGTTATTCCTTTCAATATTTATCAAAGATGTGATTTGACCTCACGATTGTTAGAATTCAAAACAAGAACTAATCAGGATGACACGTCAAGAAGGTCTACGTATCAGCTTATTTGGCTAAAAAAAGTGGTCTACAAATTTTGAACTAGATGCAAGGCTATAAGGTTGTCAAGTTTTCTGAATCCTTATGTGATTGCTGTAAAAGAAATCATATTAAGTTTCTCAAAAAAAAATTATTCAAAAAAAATTGTCAAGTATTTTCTAGAGTATGGGGATGGCTTGGTGCCGCTTACACTTTCATTCTTAAAACATTTGGTAATCTTTATTGTTACAGAATGTCATTTCCCATGATGAATCAACAAAGTAACTCCCAAACTACATTAGTGTCATCTTCTCCTGATCTTTCTGCTACTGTTGCTCCTTAAGTCACAGTCACACACTCTAATAGTAATACAGAAATTGAGGGGAACACAAATCCTATTCAAGCAAAGAGAAAAAGGAAAAAGACTTCTCAGATATAGGATAACTTTGTCGAATTTATTCGTCCTAATAAAGAAAAAGGTGAAAATGTAACAATTGCGAGCATGACTTTGCTTATAATTCAACCGGAACAACATCTCACGTGAAAGCATATTTAAACAATTGCATTGCTAAGAAGTTGAATGATCAAAGACATAAAACTCGTAACTTTCAACGAGATGGTTCTACTATCGAGCATTCAATTATATTACCACTTAGTGGCAAGTATAACCATTTGAAAGTTTGAGAGCCATTAGCTCATTGGGTCATGATGCATGAACTTCCATTTACAATAATTAAGGAGGAATGGTTTATATTCGCAATGAAGACTATACAACCTTAATTTGATAAGATTGGACGAAAAACGTTAAAGGATGACTGCATGATAGTTTTTAATAGCAGAGAAGAATAAGTTTAAGCAACAACTTAAAACACACGGATAGAATAAGTCTAACAACCGATCTTTAAAAGTCTGAAAACCAAAAAATTGAATATATGGTCATTACTAGGCATTTTGTTGATAACAACTAGGACCTACAAAAGGCGGTCCTTAGTTTTGTACATGTGCCTCCTCGTCGTGGTATTGATATTGCCGATGCTATGCATAAATGTTTTAAAGATTAGGAAATAGAAAACAAAGTGTTTACTATATCAGTGGATAATGTATCCTACAATGATATTTGTTTAAGAAACTTGAAAACCAATCTTTCTAGATCTAGAAAATTGGTTTGTGATGGCAAGTTGTTTTAAGTGAGATATTATGCTCATATTCTTAATCTTCTTGTCCAAGACGGGATAAGTGTAATTGCATCAACAATTGAGAATGTGCGGGAAAGTGTCAAGTTCATCACTCATAGTGAAGCAAGGATTAGAACATTTTCGAGTGTCGTTCAACAGGTATGCAAAATTTAAAATTTATTATAAGTGTTAAATTTCATACTTCTTACTTTGAAGTACTAATTATTTGTTTATGTTTATGTTTAACAGTTGCAATTAAGAGAGGAACAATTGATTCTCGATGTGCCTACTCATTGGAATTGAACATAGTTGATGTTGATCACTGTCATGAAGTTTAAACATGCATATTCCCAATGTACAAGGAAAGGGAATCTAGTTATGATTGCATGCCAGAACCTGAAGAATGAGATAAAGTAGAGAATATTTGTAAATTATTGGTCATCTTTAATTAGGTACTAATCTAATTTCAGGTAGTGACTATCCTACTTCTAATTTATATATTGTTGAAATCTATAAGATTAAAGAAATTATAAAAAAGTCACTACTTGATGATGATTTTTGCATTCAACAAATAGCTAGTAAAATGCAAGATAAATTTGAAAAATATTAGGAGGAATGCAATTTATTGATGACAGTAGTTTCTGTTATGGATCCTAGATTGAAAATGCGTGGGGTGCAATATTGTTATCCAAAAATATATTCAGAAGTAGATGCTTTGAGTAATATAGAAAAAGTAAAAGATGCCTTGAAGGAGCTATATGATGAGTATGTTGCTTTACATAATGCTAATAATGATGAACAAGTTTCTTCAGAGGCATCTAATTGTACAAGCAACTCACTATCTACTATGAGTTCATGCTTTCATGGAGCGATGTTCTTGATTTTGTGAAAAGTGTAGACAATGTACTTACTTCTAAATCAGAGTTAGAGATGTACTTGGAGGAGCATGCATATATACGCGAGGAAAAAAATATTAAATTTTAGTGCTTTGGGTTGGTGGAAATCCAATTAATTAAAGTATCGAATCTTGTCAAGAATGACGGTCGATATCCTTGCAGTTCCCATTTCCACAGTGGCATCGAAGTCTACTTTTAGTGCATGGGGAAGGGTAATAGATCCATATCGAGCATATTTAGATCTAAAAACTGTTGAAGCATTGATTTGTGGAGGAGATTGGATGCGAAAGGTGTATGGGATTAAGAAAAAGAAGAAGGTAGTTGGCTAATTGTACTTTAATTAATTCAATGCATAAATTAAACTTAACTAATTGTATGTTAATTTATATGTTACAGAGTGAAGATGAGATCAAAGAACTAGAGATATTGTTGCTGGATCCTTGAGGTATGCTTAATTTTTTTGTTGCACTTTAATGAGTAATAGAATACAAGATATGACACATGTTCTTTAAAAAATATTAATTTTTGAATGCACAAGAGAACATGATAGTCGTTTATTTACTTGTTTTCAAGTGGTTGGGATAATGTTAACTTTTTAGATATAGTTTCTGCTTCTAACTAAATTTTTTGATCAAATACTAAATTCTAGATGTATTATGTCTAGACCCTCTACTAAACTAAGTGATGTACAATCACCAAATAGTGTAGCTTCATCATCCAATTAATCACCAGATTTCGCAAGAACTTATACCCAATAAACACATGTATACTTCATGATTTGAATTTACAGTTTGTATGATGAGCTGCTACTAATTCCGGGCGTTTAGACAAAAATCCTATACTATAAATGCGAGATTAAAATTTCAAAGATTGATGGTAACCCTTGTTGATTAATGGAATTGTGGCTTGGTTATATGCCGAGAACATAGGTAATCACATAAATTTCCAAAACTTTATTAAATCCATGTGTTTCTTCAGTCGTTTTCTCTATGTTATTTTTTCTTTGTTTCACCATTCTACGGTGTAATTTAGCTGTGTTGTACATCATGAGAAAGTCATCTTTAATGTGATTAGAGGTGTTGAGCAATCTGTGGGGTTGAGTTATGACTCTATTAGCATAGGTTTTTTAAGACATTTTCAATTATTTTAGGGAAAAATTGCAAAATCCTTTAACTTTGTAGCTTGTTATGAATTTAACATGTAATTTTGACATTCAACTAATCCGAACTGAATGTGTGAATACATACCATAAAAGTTAAATTGCTAATACAACTACTTTTGCTCCAATATTCTATGATAGAGTTCCATCTTATTTTCCTTTTTTTCAATGATGTCCATTGGGCCAGTAATTGGAGCTATTGCAACCGCTAATGCTACTGTCTTAAAGCCATATGTTCTATAATTTCAGCTCCAAAAGGTGAATTTAATCTTGATTTGTGCTTTCTCAAAATCTCTTTAGCAAAGAAGTTGTACATGGATGAAAAACTGAGCAACAAATAGTTATTTGGAGCTTACTTCCTTTTAACAAGTGTTTTTGGAGAATTTAAGATTTTTGTCATGAATGAACTATGTGACCATGTTGATGTATGTCAAATTGAACCTTCGGACTGAATTTTCTTTTCTATGCAAGTGGTGTTGTAGTATTGAGTATGATTATTGGATGGGAGACATTTATATTGATGTTTGACTTTTATATTTGAAGAAACTATATTTTTCTTGCTTTATTATGTAGGAATTTATTTTTCCATATTTGTTCATTTTATATTGTTGCGAATATGTTTTGCTTCAGGTGTAATGTACATATTTGTACTGAAATTTCCAAAAAATGTTCTAGTGTAATGTTTATATGTCTATAGAATGTACTATATATCTGTTTTTAATTTTGAATAATTGACGAATAGATATCGAATATTAAACGAATAATGCAGGGAAAATCGCAGTTTGTTGTTAAATGAATATTCACGAATAATTATCGAACGCGAATAAATATTGTCGAATCGAATTTGAATGCTCATTTAGTATTCGACTCGAATATGATCACGAATTCAAATATATAAAAATGGCCCGAATCTGAATTCGAATAGGTAGCTGTTCGCTTCAATTCGGTTGTTCACCAGCCCTACGTGTAGACATGCATACATGTAACTTAGTACGTAATCAATGATTATTGTTTTATGCTCTTAATTAGTTAATAAAGAACCGGGAAAACATTTTCATGAATAGAGTAACTTGTTAAGAAGAAAATGAACTATAAGCTGTTGGCCTTCTTGTTTTGATGATGTTTAACAAACAATTTACCACTAATGTTGTTTGTCTAGTATTTGTGTTTTCGTATTTATTGTAGACAAACAACGTAGTTGGAGGTTGGATGTAATAGAGCTTCAACGATCATATCAAGAGGAGGTTGGCGAAATTGTGGAGTGAAGCAACGTACAATTCAAAGTTAAAGATCAAGTTCAAGCTTCATCCGCGAGATTACCAAGTAGAGCTTATTGAAGACCAATCAAGCTTGGGTAACTTAGTTTAGGATTTATATTATGTGTGTTAAGTACGTTAAGCTCAATATCTATACACACACATTATGTTGGTTTTCATATATATATATATATATATATATATTATAACACATATGTTTTTGTTTTATAGTTTTCGGCTTATATATGACAAATGCATAGAATTGGAAAATACTATTTTGTTCATGCTTATATGTAATATATGTGATTCATCTTTAACTAAGTCTTATATTAATGAATCATATTTAGTGTTTTGAAATATATTTACATTAGAATATGCAATTTTGGAAAATATTGTATTTCCTTAGTATTGTAAGACTGAAATATTCAGTTTATACATGTTTTACTAAGTCTATAAAATATTCAGCAAAGTTTTCAAAAGTTGTTTTATGTCAAAACATCAAAATTCAAAGTATCCTATATTTTCATGTTTTGGACTTGTTTGGTAAAATATGATATTTTTCATGTTGGGAAGTCCTTTCCTGATATAACAGAGTTCGCTGTAGCATTTTATTATCATGATTACAATCATTCCCCAAAGTTTATATTTTTTGGAAATTTATTTTGATATTTTTAAACAGCGGTTTTAAAATCAGATATATCAGTTTTGAGATATCAGTTTTTCGGCTCGACCGAACCGGTCGACCGAACTCTGAGGCAAATGTTCACGGCGACAGAGAGTCTGTCGGCGACCGGTCCGGTCGACCGATAATAAATTTTCGGTCGACCGAGATGAATTGTTTCCGGTCGACCGACGAGTTGTTTCTCTTGCCAACGGTAGTTTTTTTGAACCGTGCTTGGGTTGTTTTTGTCTTTTGCTACAGGTTTTTGGCTGAATTCTTGGAGGCTTAATATATCCCCATTGGTAAGTTCCTTCTAACAGAGTAAGAAGAATGTTTTAAAGAAGTTTTTTAAACAAGGGTTTTAAAAAGAGTTTAAGCTTGTTTAAGCTTGTTTAAGGGTTTGGTTTAAGCTGTTTTGGTTTTCACAAGTGGAGGAGATTATCTTTTTGTTTTGGGCTCATTTCTCCATCTCTCCATCTTGATCTAGAGAAGTTTTCCTAAACTCAACTCTAGCTTTTATCATTTGTTATTTGTCAATTATCATTTCTATTAAAGCTAGTTTTATATTGAGTTTAGTTGATTTGATTTTATCTCATTGTTACACACACCCACTTAAGCTTATTGTATTTGCATTCATAATATATTAGGGTTGTGAGAGTTGTAACATTGAGTGTGAGCTTTTATTGTGTTCTCATCCATATTAGAGAACAATTTATATTTGTTACATTGTGAGATTGTTAGGTTTTCGGTGAGCTAGAAACCGAGTGTGTTGTGAAGTTTTCGGTGAACTAGAAAACCGAATGTGAGGAGTGACGTTGATCGGTGAGCGTTGAAAACTGATACTGTGAGGTGTAAACGTTATTCGGGTGAACGTAGAAAACCCGGTTGATAGTGGATTTCTCCCCGGGAGTGGGGAGCGGAGACGTAGGACGGAAGGTCCGAACTCCGTGATCATTTGATTGTGTTTGAGTGTGCTTTGGCGTATTTATTTTTGCATTCATCTTATATCGCCATTTGTGCATTGCTCATTTATTTCATTCACTATCTTGTTTAGATTGTTTACCCCTTGTGTTAGTTTATATATCCTTGCATTATATATTTTTATCATATAGGATATATATCTTGTTGTTTATATTGCTTATCCTAGCTAATATATATTGTTGTATTTCATACTTGCTAGGATAACTTATTAATTAGTTTTAATTGGCATTTAATCGGATTAGATTAGCATAAGACCCTAATCACCCCCCTCTAGGGTCTAACATAAGCATCCACCATACTTCCTTTTTCCCAGCCTTTCCCAGCCCTACAACATGGTGATGGTGTTACTCAGCAAAGAAAGTAATAAAAAATCACAGGAAAAATAATTGCAGATGGACCAGTGCATAGTACCGTAGAAGGTGTCTAGAACTGATCAAAAATAAATCACATCATATACCTCAATAAAATAAAAATAAATCATAAAAAATAAAAAAAATCACATCATATACCTCAATAAAATGATAGATTTGGATCTAAATAGTGGATCTTTTGATAGAGAATGATTATACTTCAACATATTGTTTTCTCATAATACGCCAAATTTAAGTGGGAACCATCTTCAAGAATCCTAGTACAACCAGAATGCATATGTGGGTCTAAATAATGGATCTTTACTACATCAAATGTGTCACCATGAAATCTCTTTTTCATGTGGACTACAGTCAAAATTTGAATAAACCCTAAATTATAGCTCATGCATAGCGATAGACATCAATAAGTGATGAATAACTAATTTATGGCATTCAATATCACTCCGTCTATATGAGAGGCATGATTGCAAGGAGGTTCTCTCTTTTGAGCTCCTTTTAGTTTGTCTATGTGTGTTTGGCTCCTTTTATCTCTTTGAGAATTCACTAGCGTTTTGATGTCTCAGTACCAATATTTTCTTCCTTGATAAGTGTTACCATTTGCTTACGTGAGTATATTTTCTAACGTACTTTTTTTTCCTTTTATGTTGTCTCGTGAACAAACTTTTAGTGAAATATTTGGCGGATTCTGCCAAGCTTTCTTCTCAAAATAAGAAAAATAAGATCTTTATAAAAATGATGGATAGTGCAACATTGCAGTCTCTATGAGAAAGTAAATTAAGAATAAGAGTACCAAGTGAGTTTAAACATGTCAATGGTCTAAGTCTACATGTAAAAAGTTACTCCCTTATGTCCCCATGACGGACACAGAAGACAAATTCTATTTACAACATCCTATACCATTGCCTATACTAGTAGTACTACTAAGAGATAACTAGTGGGAAAAAATGTCTTAGAATAACACTCTCTCCAATATTTTAAAAAAGAGTACATACAAGATCTTGGTGATGCTTGTTTTAGTCTATCAAGTAAGAAGATAGAATTAAATATTTATGATAATTTTCAAAACTCATCATACAACTTAAGTTTATCAAATTTGTTTACTTTCTATGCAAATCGAACATTATTTGGCAAGCATATACAAGAAATGGACCACATTGTAACGAAAGACCAAGCAGGAAAATGAACTCTTTTGGGGAAAAAATAAGCCAGATGTCATGTTGCGTCAACACATGATCACGTTTTTCCAGCCAGTGCATGAGGCATGGACCTTCCTAAATTAAAAACATGCACTATAACAGACCCATTGCGCATTATCACGTTCTTTTAGCCAACGCATAAGGCACGAGCCTTCCTAAATTAAAAACATGCATTATAGTAGACTATATAGCATGTGCATAGCATAAATGCAAAACAATAATAAAGCTAATAAGGAAGTACATTTCACTATGAAAATGAATATTAGCATGAAATACAATAAGAAGACTCACCTTGCAGCATGGTTAAACTTTCGGAAAAAACCAAAAGGGAACGTTGAGTGGAGAGTAAGAGCCAATCAGAGACCATTCCGTGATCCCTCCATCTGCTAAAGAAAAGATGCCCTGATCGTAATGTCGATCAGAGTCATCATCATGCAAGAGAGTGCCTGATTTCATATCCGTGAAGTAGATATGGTTTGCTTTATACCCAGAAGAATTGCCAATAGTGGTAGTCCTTGCGCAGGACTCACCAAAAGAGCTTACAAAAATAACTTCATCATGTAATGTCTGTATCCGTATCCACTTATTAGCGGAGTGATCAAGCCTGAACACGTGAAATCCAGTGGTGACTAAATTGGCCTTTCCATCATCAACTTCATCAACCTTTCTCAATATAAGGAGCAAGCCCCCTAAATTAGATTCAACCAAATAAGTTTGAGAAGCATTATTAGTGCATATTTCAGGCAGTTCAATGGTTTTTCTCCAAAGTAGTTTGGGCTCTATGTCAAAGTAGTAACACATAACTACATTGCGCCATGTGCCCAAACCTACACAATATAACGACCCCCTATAGCATATAAATGCTCCATAGAAGTTCTCAATCAAAATTAACCACTCATCATCTCCCGGTCTACACATGTATAACCCGCCATATTCAGATTGAGCAGCTACTCCTAGAGAATAAGGTATATCAAACACAATACCTCTTCGGAAAAGTTTGTAATCATTGATTTCGGAACCATTATTGATCTCATTATCAGAATCTGTGTCACTGTCCGTCCCAGAATCGTTATGCAGGTTTCTGTACTCTAGCATTGGAAAATGGTGGTCATTGCTAAATTCAGAAGCACTATCAGAAATTTCTTGATCTGAAGAGAAAAAATCACGATGTAAAGAAGGGAGTTCGAGGGTTTGATTATTCAATGGGTTAAGAATATAGTATCCCTCTGCTATATGGTATATTATTAACCATCCCATTGAATGGCCTAAGCATTCAAAACCTGGAGACATGATTATGTTAAGTTGATGGATATAAGCCTCCATTGGGCTGTAGATGCTGAGGCTATCTTCAAGTGGGAGCTGAGGAAACACCAGCCATGGCCACTTGATTGCAAGACGGTGGGGTTTGTCTCTGGAGGCTGATCTCCAAGACTTGCAAACTGCTCCAAACCGCACGTGATCCCCAAAGCTAAGCTCCTCCAGAAAGAGATCAAGTATCTCCCTTGGGAGATCACCCCAAGGCCTCCATCGAGCCTGTGAATAGAAAATAGATGAGTTCAAGAAACAAGATCTGGAGAATGTTGAATTGTAAAGTTACCAAATAAAGGGCTTCAGCCATCTTGGAGTTGCTGGTGTTTGCCGGGATACCCTCTTTCTTGCAGAGGGCTTGTAGATCTTTTCTTTTCATCAATTTGAAATCCTTTTCCTTCATGGATTCTCTCTTGGTGCAGACTATCGGTGGAACAGTTTCGACTAACCCACCGGTTAACAAGGAAGGACGGGGGTGTTTTGTCGTGGGAGAAAAAGTACTTTCCTTTTTTCGTCTTTCTTTTTTTTTCATCATTGTCTATGTACAATGAACATGTGGCTTAGAGAGGAAAATAAATGAGAGTTTGAATCGGACACATATACTCTACAGATTCTAATTACTGTCTGAGAGGTACTAATCTCATTGTAACAAAAGTTTCTCAAAGCTAAGACACTGAAGATGAATGCATCAGCATCTCTGAAGGCGAGACACAGATATTTCTGGGGGTAAAAAAAGATTAGCAGCAGCATTTCTTAGATGAGGAGGAATTTCATTATTAGTCTCCCATATATTTCCAAACAAAATTCACCTTAAAAAGCCTCAGTCATCCTTACCATAGTCAAAAGGATTAGTTAAGGTTGCAGCCTCATGATTCATGAACTTAGTTTAATACTTCCCGAAACAAAAATAGTGGAATCGATCATTTACCTTATACAGATTTTTATTACCATATATAGGATTAAAGAAAACATAACCTAAATGCTTATAGGAGAACAAACATTGACATTTCATCCTCCTTCAATCTGTCTTAATGTTTCTATTATATATTAGCAATTATGGCATTGCATAATATTTCTTAAGGCTGTACTCTTCACCTTTTGAGGAAATTCAACTTCCATGATCCACGAATTAAAATCACACAGAATACAAACTATACTTTAACAAAAAAATGAACACTTAATTAAATTAAACTCTGCAGTAAGCTATTTCGTCATAAGTTGAGTTAGTAAGTGCACATTTTCATCACGTCACCAACTGCAAAGTCTATAACACAGAAATTTCCAAGCTTAGGCAAAAGCTATGTAATCCATCTAGTCTTTATAAATTTTAGGAAACAAAGAATTGGAGAAACTATAAAAGCCTGCCTAATCCATGATCCCAGCCGAAATCATGCTGATCGACTGTCACATGTGTGCACTAGAAAAATCTTTTCATAAACTCACAATACTTCAAATCCTTTCCACAAAAGGTAATTGACCACCATACCAAGCTTCAAAATCCTCTAGCTCCTATTGTAGGATGCCCAAGCAGTATAAAGATCACTAAGAGTTAATCAACTGATAATGTATTGAAAGAATACTAGAACCGTCAAGAGGAAGCTTATGAAATTGTTTATGCCATTTTCAACAACCTAAACTCAATTAAAACTTTCCATTTTTGATAAAAAAGGATATCGTGGTTAAAAAGTTTCGATATTTGATAAGTACCAGTTGTCAACAGATCACTAGCTCTTTTCTTTATCACAACTTGCTTATATCTAACCTGTAAATCCTTTAAATTCAATCCACATTTGAGAATGATGAGAAATGAAAAAATATGAGGGCTATAAGTCTCTGTTCAAGATGACTTAAATGCAAATCCAATTTTTCAACATAATTGTCTGATAAACCAGTTTCATGTACCTAGATAAGCAAACTTAGAGTCATTTCACAAGAAAGAGTGGGCATATGTCTTTCCGTTGTACACATCTATTATTAAATCCAGTCATCTAGGGCTTTTTTTAAATATACATTAAATATAGTTGTAGGGTTTCTCAAGCAACCATCCTCCTCCGCTATTGCCAGGTTTGCATGAAGAAACTATTCAAACTTATGGGATGACTTATACGGTTAATCATGATATTTATAGGGTTAATCATGGTATAGCTTCACTATATAAAATGTATTATAACAAATCCTCTTGCTTCTCTAGACTTTGAACCAGACAACCAGTTATAGTTTTTGCATGTATCTAGCTCTAGTTGTCAATGAATGATGGCTATTTCTTTTGCGGTGTCACTGCCATACCCATGACACTGATAGATATGTATACAAGGTATTTGCTTCTTTCGAGCTCATTTTGGTAATACATTTAATTTTTCTTCTCTTTTGTCACTTTTATAAGATTTTAATAGCCCCTTAAATGTACTTTATTTCCTTACCTGATCATTTGGTGGCCTATCATATTGTGTATTTTTCTTCTCTTTTAGGTAATTTAACAGAGCTTTCCATCTAAAGCATGTAACACAGGATAAATCAACCAAAAGTATGATATTTATAAGAAAATAATACAATTGTTCTCATTAACATCAAGAGTTTAACCATTTGAATTTATTTTTAACAGCAGTTTAGCATTAAAAAATCTACAGTGAGTAACTATTAGTTATTCCCATGCATACAAATTGTTTGTTCTGCATAATAGAAACAACTTATAAGAATTCTATCCATAATGTCCTCGTCCTCTCCTACTACACAATCTATATGCATGTGCATTTTTGCATATTTATTCTAGAAATATTCCAGGTTACTACATGCATGCAAGTATGAGCATAGTTATCAAGAAGAGACCGCGTATATATTGTTCTCATTCGTTCCTGCTAGATTGATTCATATACGAACACAACTATGTTTGGCAAGTACAATGAGGAAATTGACTTCTTAATATGGAATATGAAACACCAGTAACAATAAAAACACTTCAGAAAGATACACCAATAATGTACTACTGGCCAACACGTCATCACATTTAACCTAGAGCATGAGCTACAATCCTTACTATATTCTTCTTCCAAGGAACTAGGAGTTGTCATTACAACAAGGAATTTGCAATATCATATGCAAATACGCAAAATCAATATGTTATAATATGCGTTCTAACGTAATTATGTAATTGATTATATAGCCATGCATATCATAGATATAGATAAACATTATATCTAGTAAGGAATCATATTTTGCTCTAAGAAGGAATAGTAACATAAAAGCGATTAAAATAGACTCACCTCGAAGCTAACCATTCTTTTGGAAGAAACCAAAAGCCAATGTTTAGTGCAGGTAAACTTTAGGTAAGTTAACGATAATCATCATCACGATTTGCAAGTAGTAGGTCCCCTAAATTAGATTCTATCAAATAAGTTTTAGATGTGTTGATTGTGCACGATTGTGGGAGTAAGATGGTTTATCTCCAAAGGTTTATATGCTTTGTGTCAACAAAATCATAGGCAACAACATCATTTTGTCGCTACCATAAGCCTACAAAATACGAAAACCTCTATGCCATACAAAAGCTCGACATAAGGTTTTTTAAATATAGTATTCGTGCATGATACCATAACATCTACCACAAACATGTAACGGTCTCCCTGAAAACTCCATTTCATCAAAATTCATGTTTCTTGGCATCAAAAGACCTTTTGCTCCGGCGATAAAAAAAGTCTACAACAAATCTCATCAAAATCCATGTTTCTTGGCATCAAAAACCCAAAATTTCTCCCATGTCTCATCCTCCCCAATAATGTGTCTCTCTTCTCCTTCTCTTCCAATACACTAGATATAGCAAGCCGTTAACCCTGAACCTAACCCTAACCCTAGTTTTTCCAACCCCCAATCCCGCTTATATGAAGCAAAAATTAGACTACTGCTGCCAAATCGAGGTCGTTGGTGGTCTATCTCCAAGAACGCGATGCCCACAGCTTAGGTTTTCCAAGAAAATCTTCAGAGTCTTCGATGAGAAATCAGCCGAAAGCCTCAATTTTGAGCCTGTCCGCAGAAAACAAATGAGTTAAGCAAAGCGAGAAAACTGAGAAACGCTTAAAATTGAATAGGCAGTAACCAAAATTAAAGAGAATCAAGATCAAAACCGCGTCTTTCCGCAGGGAAATTGTAAAGTTTCTTTCTTTTCCATGGATTTGAAATATTTCATCTCCTTGGCTTTCTGCACTTGGCTCGTGGTAATGATACTTACACATGTTTCTAACTAATAATATTTATTAAATTTGTTATTAGATCAACTAAATTTCTTCTTCAATTCAACTGTTGGAATATTTCTAATGAAAAGCTTAACAATCGTTAATGATTAGAAAGCTCTAAAATTAGCATGCAAGTAACCATAGAGAGACATTTGGGTGGAAATTTCCACATTTGACAACAAGCGAGAAAATACATGCTACTTAAGTGCAATTTACCCTTTATTTTTCAGGAATAGGGGTTTTCCACTCGCTAGTCTCAATTATTTAGTATTATGCATTGGTCCCTCAAATCATTGAAATTGCGACTAGATCCCCAATTCCCAATTGTTTAGTATTATGCATTGGTCCCTCAAATCATCGAAATTGCGATTAGATCCCCGATTCTTATACCTTACACTAATGCTCTTGTTTGAAGGTCGCAACGAGTAACACGAATTGGAGGGCCCTAGGAATTTAAATGATTTATGGGACTAATTATGAATCAACTTGTACGAATTGGGGGATCTAGCAGCAATTCCAATGATTTTTGAAGGTAGAAGTTATGTAGTTGGGAAAAAGAAAGAAGGAAAAAAAATATATAAATCTCTCTTTATTTCTCGAAAACTAAAGGTGGGAATGGTAATGAGCTAGGCAATTAGTTCCCTTGAGAGATCACGCGTTTTGCACTTGAAGTATCACGTGTTTTGCAGTAGGATCTTCTGACTAAAAGAACTCCTGACATGAGTCAGAGCCAGAGAATATACCTGATGCCATACAATTAGACGGAAATATTGATGATGCGTTACATGATTCTCTATAGTTGACAACTAAAGCATCTGCAACTGCAATGAACCCTACTTTTATTGGGCATGTCATTATGCAGGGAGAAGATTGAATCGTTGCCGATATTTTCGAACTCAGAACTCAAGAAAACTAACACTGGCCATTTATAATACCTCAAAATCAAATGAGAACATTCACCTATCCAAACTAACCAAGCTCACAACAAAACATGTCATCAACAAAAAAACCAAAAAAATCGCAGAAATTGGAATTTACTCGTAAAGTCCTTGAAAAAAAAATAGCTGTTCGTTTAGTCATCGATAACAAGTTTTCTTTACCCTGTGGACATCACCTAACTCCCTCCAGCAGATATTTACCTGGTAAGAAAATAACATTTCATGTTAGATAAAGATGGAAGTCACTCTTCACCAATGCAATATTAACGAATACACAGATATTACTTCGTAACAAAGTAGCAACCATCTATCAAATTAGCTCTCCAGATGACAAAAAGAGGAAAATGCAACTCAGAAGTTTCATCAAGCCACATAAACAAGCACGAGTTCGAACTGGAGAATAGTCAAGAAGAGGAAGCTATAATCTCAACCAGAACCATGACATACATCCCACAAGGAGTTAAAATGTACAGAGTCTGCAAATTCTGATTAAATACTGTCGTCAAAGACATTTATAGTTCCAGGTTCACAAAAGTTTTCCAAAACCAAGCAAGTTGAACTTTGAAAGCATCAATTCTTCTTGAGAAGGATTTTCATCGTCGATCTCCAACAGATTTCGCTTGCACTGAAAAGATGTTTAAAGGAGGAAACATAAGTTTTCAGGAAAACAATGAGAGAATAAAGATAGACGAAATACTCCCAGCCTGACTTTGGCATAGTGATACAGTGTTGAGGATAGGAATTCATATAATAGGTGGGATTAATCTTCAGAACTTATTTATGAAATAATATTATGAAACAAAGGTAAATTTTAACAGCAACGCCAAGGGTTTTTTGTGATGTGAAATTCATTTGTTCGTTGTCGAGTGATAGAGAAGGTTTATTGTAGCCTATTCACGATACGACATATTTCCAACTCTTATCTAAGCAATTTCTCACTAGTAGCTATACCACTGTATCTTAAAGAACCTTCAACGTTAATAATGAAGACCCAAGGAGTATAATGGCACAAAAAAGGCCAAACTAATGAGCTTTATAATCAAAATTATCTCATCACTTGGCCATTCGTTAAGTCTGTAGAGTCCAGAGCCACCCACGATATTCCTAATTTAGGCGGCACCGATGTTATCTTCATGGCATACAAAATATGGAGGATTCAAGCACTAAAGAGATCACTAAGAGCTAAAACTGCAAATAGATCTTCAAGACAGTACGAGAAGTATGAAAAGAAGCTTCTGTAAACGTTTATGTTACTTCCAAATGCCTAATACTGCAAGATAAAAAAAAGTAATATTATATTGCTGGTGAATGTAGATATATAGTACTAAAATGGAAATTGACCCATGCAGAGAGCGACAAGTAAGATATGACTGTTTGAGCGTACATATGCATTTACGTGTCTCAATGCATGAGCATGCATTAGTATGGACTTGATAGGCTTTTCTTTTCCTGGTCCTTAGTTGATGAACCGAGAAAACATCTAAATGCACTAGGAGCTAATTCCGTGTATGGTGTGAATGGACAAAGATTAAAAATCACAGGATCAATAGTTGCATATTGGCCAGTAATACAGTATTGTCGGAAGATATCTGGAACTACTAAGCTGAACCTACCTGCATTTACTCCTAATTACCATAAACGAGAAAATTGCGAAAAAATCACAACATATATATCAATAAAATGATAGAGAGGTGTAGGTCTGTCATGGAGACATGACCAAATGCTTGAGAATATTTCTTGAGGGAGAATCATCTTCTTTTCTAAAGCACCTTACTTAAAACAGCAACTATCTTCAATCATCTGAGCGTAATAAAACCTATATGAATCTGTTCTAAAATAGATCAGAAAGAGCTATATTTACTTATCTATTGGATTTAGAAAGTATGGGATTTTTAAAACCTAGTAAGCTCTCTCCCTCAATCCCTCCCCCTCTAATACACAGGAAAATATACATGCACGTGCACATGCACATGAACGCATGTACACGTGGTCTCGCACACAAATAAAGCTCGCAAAAGCACAACATTTTTCTTCAAAGGATGAAAGGCGATCTTTGATTAAAACAAAGATGCTATATGTAAAACTTTCCATATTTTACCAGGACTGGTTTTAGGACATCCTCACTTAACTTCTATACTTCATTTTGTTTCTAGACGAAAAGAACCTTACATGAAAAGGAGAAAGGCAAACTAAACGTGGGAAAAAGCGAAGAGCGCTTGGTATCAGTATATTTTGCATTGTGCACGAGCAAAATGTGGGCCCCACTTCAACAACCAACATACTTGTATCTCCACAAAGATGAAAAACAGTCATCAAACTCTCTCTTAATTAATATTTTTTAAAAGTATGTACAAACATCAGTACATAACTGAGGTTTATTTAATAAGATTACATTTATACGTGAACACAAGTTTATTTGGTCAGTAAGAGGAAATGGACCACATAACACGGAAGATGGGTATCAATCAGAAAAAAACAACTCAAGGTATTATGTTGTGTGTCAACACATTCTCCTGTTCTTTTAGCCAGTGCATGAGGCATGGGCCTTCCTAAATTAAAAACAAGCATTCTAACAGAACCATATAATCGACACTATATATCACATGCATAATATAGAAACTGAACGATAACAAAATTTAGAAGGAAGCATATTGCACACCAAGAACGAATATTAGCATAAAAATTATTCACCTTGCAGCATAGTTACACTTTTGGGTAATACCAAAAGGGAGTGTTGCTTATTAGCATAAAAATTATTCACCTTGCAGCATAGTTACACTTTTGGGTAATACCAAAAGGGAGTGTTGCTTAAACGGTAAGAGTCAAGTTTAGGAGATTGCACAATCCCTCCATCTTCTAAAGAAAAGACACCCTGATCGTAATATCGATTAGGGTTATCGCCTCTCAAGAGAATTCCTGCATCAGTATCTGTGAAGTATATATGGTTTGCTTTATATCCAGAAGGGTCATCAGCAAAGAAAGCCCTTGCACAGGAATCGCCGGAAGAACTCACAAACAGGACCTCATTATGTAAACTCTTTATTTGTACCCACTTATCAGAGGCATGATCTAGCCTGAACAGGTGAAACCCAGTGGTGCCTACATTATGGTTTTCATTATCAATGATATCTACAGTTCTCACTACAAGGAGTAGGTCTCCTGAATTAGATTCAACCAGATAAGTTTCAGATGGACGTTCAGTGCATACTTCTGGCAGTGATATGGTTTTTCGCCAAAGAAATATGGGTTCTATGTCAGAAAGGGAGTAACACATAACTACATTGCTCCATTGAAACAAACCTACGCAATATAATGACCCCCGATAGCATGCACATGCTCCAGTAAAGTTTTCAATTAACACGAGCCACTCTTCATCTCCAGGTCTACACATGTACAACCCGCCGGACCGAGCTAGAGCTGCTAGTCCCAGAGAATAAGGGATATCAAACACGATAGCCCACTGAAAAAATCTGTAGTCATCGTCACCCAAATCATCAGCAACCTCATTATCAGAACCACTTTCACCATTATCCTCATAACCATCTTCACCATCACTATCGCTATCAGAATAAATATGAGGGTTAACAAATTCTTGCATGTACTGATGATCGTTGTCGCTAAAATCAGAACTATTTTCACTGTTAGTCTCATAATCACTTTCACTATCACCGTCAGTCTCAGAGTTGATATGAGGGTTATCAAATTCTAGCATGTTCTGATGATGGTCATTGCTAAACTCAGGAACGCCATCCGAATTGTCTTGAGAAGGACTGTGTAAAAAGTCACAATGGGAAGAAGGGAGCTCAAGGGTTTGATTATTCAAGGGGTTTAAAAGGTAATAGTCTTTTGATTCGTTATAAATTACTAACCACCCCATTGAATGGCCAAGGCATTCAAAACCAGGGGAAATAGATATGTTAAGGTCGTGGGTTTGAGCCTCCATTGGGCTGTAGAGGCTTAGTTTGTCTTCAATCTGAGGGAGCACCAGCCATGGCCATTTGAGTGCACGGCGGTGGGGTTTGTCTTTGGATTTGTCTTCAATCTGAGGGAGCACCAGCCATGGCCATTTGAGTGCACGGCGGTGGGGTTTGTCTTTGGATGCTGATCTCCAAGTTTTGCAGACAGCACCAAAGCGGATATGATCACCGAGGCTAAGCTGCTGCAGAAAGAGATCAAGTATCTCCTTTGGCAGATCAGCCCAAGGCCTCTGTCGTACCTGTGAATAGCAAGCAGATGAGTTCAGGGAACAGGATGGATGGGATCGGAGAAACTGTACAGATAATTACCTGACAAAGAGCTTCAACCATCTTGGAGTTGCTAGTGTTAGCAGGGATACCCTCTTTCTCATAAAGAGATCGCAGATCTTTACCCTTCATCAATCTGAAATCCTTCTCCTCCATGGCTCCTCTCTTGTTTGCAGACTGTTGAAGGAACAGTCCAGACTGAAAACCCCTGGTAAATGAAGAACAGGGACAGGGGGGATGATTGTCGTGAGAGGAAAAGTACTTTCCCTTTTCGGCAATGTCCATGTAAAATGAACACGTGGCTTCACGAGGAAAATAAATGAGAGTTTGAATTGGACATATAATACTCTACAGATTTAATTAATGACCAGAGACATTTAATCTCATTCTAACAAAAAATTCTTGAAACTAAAAAACTGAAAATCAATGCATCAGCTTCTCGAAGGTGAGACACAACAGATATTTCAGGGGGGAAAATCAGCAGCATTTCTTTCCTCGAAAGGAATTTCAATATTAGCCTTTGGCATATTTCTCACTAAAACCCATATTAAAAGCCTCTGCCAACTATATTAAAGTCAAACAAATGAGTTTAGGTTGCAGCTTCACGATTCATAAGGTTAGTTTAAAACTTTAAGTACTTCCTGAAAATGAAAGATTAAATGTCTCTGGTCAGTCCTTTACCTTTTACATGTTTTTGTTACCACATATAGATCAAGATTTTAAAAAGAAGACTTAAGATGCTTATAGGAGGTGCAGAAACAATTGTTCTCAGAAAGAACAGCGGAAGGAAAAAGAAAAAACTGCAGAGTTAAAGAAATACTCCCTGATGCCCTTTTTTGCATAGTCATATAAAGGGCAGTAACCTCATGCAGTAAATAGAATTGGTCTTCATAAAATCGTCTATGAATAGAATTACTGATAGAGGTTAATCCAGTTATGAACTTAAGATAATGAAAGGGATCCAACATGTTCAATCTGATAATAATTTCTATATTATCATTCAGTAAAGAAACTAAGGTTTATAATTTATAGCCATCTGACAAGAAACTCCCCCGGAGTCCCGAGGTAGCTTCACATTTCACATGTTTACATGTCACTTAGCTCCTATTCAATTTAGATTGCTCCAGCGCCCTCCTGAAATAACAGATACTAAGTTGAAGAGAACAGAAACAAAATCACATAAACGACCCACTTTTTTCTAGTTCGTAGCATGAACTCTATTAGTCTTCTCCTGCAAAACTGTCTAGCTGACATTCTACGTAGATCAAATCTCCTTCGTAACTCTTCTTCCAAAGCCCAACAAAAGATAATAAAGGTAAATTAACATTGATATATACTCCTTCAGGCTGTCATGATATTTCTATTATATTTTATCAGTTACAATGTTGAATAACGTATGATACTTTTACGACATGCCCTGTACAAGAAATTCTGCACGAGTAGTTAATACTGTAATTTTTGCCTTTCAACTTTAACTTTTATAATCCAGGAGTAAATATGCCACAAACGCAACCATAGATCTAACAAAAAATGAACTGTTTTTAATTAAAACGAACTCGGTAGTAAGCCATTTCATCATAATTGCATTTTTAGAAACTGTACATTCTCATCAAATTTTCTACTGCAAGTCTAAAAACACACAAAAATTTCCAAGTTGATGCAACAGCTACGTGATCTCTTTAGTATTTATAATTTTTAGGAAACAAAGAAAAAAAAAATTAGAATCTAGTGAAACCTGCCCTATCCATGAACCATTTGAAATCAGGCTGATCAACAATAACATGTTTCCACTGTCAAATCTTTACATGAACTCGGAATAGTTCAAACGTCTTCCACAAAAGGTATTTGATGACCATACCAGACTTCAAATCCTCTAGCTGAAGGATATGCCCTGGAGTTAAAGAGATTAGTAACAGTAAGAGATAGAAAAGAACATAATACTTTTGACAGTATATTACAAGGAGGAAGCTTCTATTACTCTGCCACTTCCAGATAACCTAACTTTAATTCTTACATAACCTTATGGGACGATTGGTAACCAAAAAGTAAATGGAAAGTGAAAATTTAACAGGCATTGCTTTCTATTTGCAAAATTTTTGTTTAGATGATAGAAAGATAGAAATTGGAGATGGCAAGTGAATTGGCATTCATTGTTTTCATGTTTTGTTTGGTTACTGTGGAAAGTGAATAGCATAAAGTAAACAATTAAAACTAAATGATAAGGACAGAGAAAGGGGGGGAAACTAATTTCTCCCCCTCTTCACATACCATTCAAATTCTTAAAAAAATTGAGAAAGTGAAAATGGTTGAAAATGCTGACATGACACCCTCCACTTTTTATTCACTTTCCAATCACTTTCCATTTACTAAACAGGGGAAAAAAATAGAAAGTAGGGTCACTTTCCAATTTTTAGTCTACTTTCAATTACTTTCTGATTGTCAAAATGCCCTCATTGAAGGAATGATTAGTGTATAATCATATGTTATTGGTGAATGTGACCATATAATATCATGGAAATGGATCCATGCAAAACGTAATGACTACGAGATAGCTGTTATGTGTTGGTGATGTGATTAACATGTTAGAGAAAGTTAGTCATTCTACACGCATACTATGATTATCAAGCAAACAAGCATACTCATTGTTAACAGTGCACTGAACGTTTAAGTAGCCTATAAGATGAAAAGGAAATTAGAACCTGAAGAAGTTTTCTTAAAACATGTAGCAGGAAAAAGTTTGAATTGGACATGGATAAAAAAAAAAAGTTACAGTCTCAACCAAATCCGTATAATACTCTGCAGATTCTAATTGAACACCGTCTCAGGGACATTTCCCATACCAGCTAAAGTTTCCTAAAGTCAAGAAGTTCAAATTCAATGTATCAACTACTCTGAAGGTGAGGTGCGACTGGTTATTCTGGAAAAAAGATAACCAACAGCATTTCTTTCCTAAAATTCTTTTTGTTATTAGCCTTGCACATATTTCCAACCAAAACCATTTTCAGCAGCATCAGTGAACCCTGATTAAAGGCGTAAGAATGAATTTAGATAGCAGGTTCATGGTTCATGAGCTCAATTTAAATACTTCGAGAAAATAAAAGAGTACATTTGAACCTTTATGGCTTTACCTTCTATAAAGTTTTGTGACTGTACCTAGAATCAAGATTAAAAATGTGCTTATAGGATCTGCGGAAACGATTAGTTCTGAGAAAGAATAATGGGAAGACAAAAAGTGCATGGTAAAGAAATAATCCATAATGTCTGACTTCACATAGTCATATACCGGAATGGACAGCAACTTCTTCCATTGGACGAAATTAGTTTTCATAAAACCATTTATGAATTAAAGTTACCTGTTACCAAAAGAGGTTAATTCCAGGTATGAACTTAAGGTTAATAACATGGATACTAAGAGTTCTATCTGATAAAAAAGTTTTGTACTACCACTAATGTTTATACTTTATAGCTAGGTTGAATGGGTATGGGTAAGGGTACAGGACACGACAAATTTGTAAAAATTAGGGCATGGGGACGTGCCTATATATGTGCATGTTATGCATATTTATATATACTAAATTAATAGTTTACATAAGATCAACATTGCTTTTTAATTTACATAATATCAATATATAAGAAATAGATGCGTAGAATATACATCGAAGAAGTGTACGGGGAGTGTTTTAAATTAAAACATGTATTAGATAATCGAGCATAGGCCAGAACAAATATATGCCTATATTCAAGAAGTGTCCAAGAGCTTTGGGTAGGGGTACGGGTACATATGCGGCAGGTGTACGGCTTCCTAATAGAAGTACCAAGGAACCATAGCTTTATAGGCATCTCACAAATAATAGCGCAAGTGTCCCAAGGTAGATTCACATGTTTACATGTCACCTAGTATCTAAACTTATATTGCAGCAGCTTCCTCCATTTGTAATCTGAAAGAACTTGAATTACATGAACAGCTTAACAGCTTACATTTCTCGCTTTGCATATCATACAGTCTATTACTCTTCTTCCTCAAGATATACCAGAAAACATCTCAAGTAGATCATGTCTCCTTTATAATATTTCTCTAACAGCCCACTTAAGGTGAAATATTGTTGATATTTAATGCTCCTTTGGCCGGTCATGATGTTTCAATTATATATTAGCAAATACAGTGTTACGTAACACGTTTTTACTGAAAAGAAAATGTTATTTTTTGATACATACTGTGTAAAAAAATTCTACACTATTAGGTACACTTGAATCTTTGACTTTCGAGGAACTTCAACCTCCAAAATCCAGTAGTAAGAATGACACAGAAAAACAACCATATATGTAACCAAATGAACAGTTTTAGTTAAAATTAACTCAGCAGTCAGCCATTTATGTCAAAATTGGTAATTTAGAAACTCTATATTCTCCTCAATTTACCTGCTGCAAAGTCTAAAAAACACACAATTTTGCAAGTTTAGGCAACTGTTTGATCTTCCTCGTCATTATAATTTTTAGGAAACAAAGAAGGAAACCCAGAAGCTAACAAAACCCTTCCAATGCATGAAGCCATGGATCCATCTGAAATCATGCTGATCAATCATCACATGTGTCTAGTATCAAATCTTTTCATAAACTCACAGTATTTCAAAATCCTTCCATAGATGGTGCTTGACCGCCATAGCAAGCTTCAAACCTCTAGCTCCTATGGTAGAATATCCAAGCAGGAAGGAGGCCATTAAAAGAAAACAGCAAGTATTGCTTTGAAAGCATACTTGAAAAAACAGACAGAAGCTTCTGAAAGCATTTATGCTACTTTCAAGCAGCCTAACCTCAGCTCTTCCTTAACCTTATGGAAGGAAATGAACATATTGTATGATAAAGATGTTTGTTGGTGAATATGGATATATACTATCATGGAAGTGGATCCCTACAAAAATAACGAGTAGAAGGTGACTGCATGTGTTAAGCGTATTGTATGACATATGTGCTTCAATGCATAAATGTCAATTGGTATGGAGTAGATAGCTACTCTTTTGCGCTTCTTAGTTGGTAAGCAAAGAAAGCATGAAATCAACCTATGGGCTAGAAAAAATTGGTAAGCAAACAAGGATCGCAAGGGAAGGAATGACACGCTACTTCCTTCTCAGCCTAGTAGAGGGGCAAGGATAAGAATAAAACCACAGGACTAATCATTGCAAATAGATCAGTAACACAATATCGTCTCTCGTACTGAAGAAAAATTTTACCTAAGATTGTTCTTAGATTTGCTCAAAGAAAAATAACAAGAAATGACATCATATATATCGACAATTTGACAGAGACATGTAGGTGTGCCATGCATCAAAAAGTGGTTGACAATACCTTTTGAGAGAGAACGGTGACACATTCATCAAAAAGTTTCACATAATTTGCCAGACTTAAAATGGGAACTACCATTCTCCAAGCAATGCTTGAAGAATCAACAAATATATGTGCATAAGTGTGTATAGTAGAGATAAACAATAGAATCGTCATTTCCACATGGGAAAATATCCTCTCATGGAAGGCTCATAAACATATGTATCTAATTATGGGTTTCTGTTGTGTCAATATTTCCATACATTAAAGCATACACGACGTGTATACATATTTTTGAAAACTTCTTTCATACCCATGGCCTACTGAGACTAGTTATTTCATTAATCAGAAACTATTCATTTTGCAAGCCCTCCCCCTGCCGATCGAAATTATAATGGCCCCTTAGCGGGCGCTCCATAGCATGGCAGCAACGCAGTGATCAGTGATCTCCTTGATAACCCGACCCCATTCTTTAATTTCTTCTTCATATCAAACACGCTCACAATCCCTCGAAAACCCTAACCCTAGTTCCTTCCACCAAAACCACCAAGCTCACACTGTCCTCGATTCCTCCACCGCCGCCGCCCAAAACCTAGCAGCTGCCAACATACACTACGGAATATCAAACAAAATAGACCTTTGAAGAAAAAAAAATTTGCAGTCATTTCTAATAGAATCACTTACCAATCTCACTATAAGAAAGAATCATAATCAGTGTCACTATCAAAATCCATGAATCGGAGAAAGATTCCCAAAAGGCGCCGAAAAGGAACGTGATCGATCCCCAAGTCTGAGGCTTTCTAAATGAAGGAATCAGCGTCTCTCCAAAGCCCTAAACCTGTCAACAGAAAACAAATTAATGAATTCAAGAGAGAAGATCGAAAGATGATTAAAATTGAATATAATCGTTGTAAACTGTGGGGATTATGGTTTTTTGAAGGGTTTTGAGGGGGAAATTATAGGGGATTTTAGTTGGAATTGGATTATAAATATAAATAAATGAGAATTTACATCATCGCTCAAGTTTAATTATGATCATAAGAAGGCGATAAATTGGGGCATAAATTAGGAAGAAGTGAGGTTATTAAATTAAACCTAACTAAACGTTTAAGATTTTGTTAATGTAAAACTCTACCATCTTTTCCTTTCTATTTCGAGTCTCATAGATTTTCTGTTAAATTATACGTAGGAGTTAACTTGACGAAAGCCCCCTTGACATTTGAGGTATTTTTTGGTTGTAGCCACTCCAAACTTTTTTATCTCACACAACCCCAAACTTTGGGCGTCTCATAAACCATGTCAGCTATAAATTTTTCTCATCGATCCATATATATGTAACTTGCAAGTAACTAAAATGTCCTTCAGAAAGACAAAATCTCAAATTTAGTCATTTGTTATTTACAATTATGTACCTCTCGCTCACCTTAACTATTGGTTTTTCTTTCAAGAAATTTTTGGTTATTTGCAAATTATATAGATAGTAGGGTTCTAGTGGGAAGAGTTTAAAGTTCAGGGCTTTTTGTGAGACACTCAAAGTTTGGGGGTTGCATAAAATTCACCTTTATATATATATATACTAGGTTTTATGCACATGCAATGCACGTGGTTAAATATCATGATTAAGTATTTTTGATTTATTTTCTTACTAAACTTTGTTCCTCGGTTTTACTTTGATGGTTTTTGCTCAGTTATGTCTATAAACTGTAGAATTATGATCATCTTTTTTAATGTTCGTTTAAATATGCCCAATTTAAATTTTCATGTTTATAATCAAATCGACACGAAACAAATGTAATCCGAAGCCAATTTGAATCATCATGTTTTTTGAATCGACATGAAGCAAAGCTTGATTTGAGAAATTATAGTGTTACAAAAGTAAAAAATACTTGAGAAAATAACGTTATAAAAGGAGAATGAATAATTGAAGCTAATACGACAAGATGATTGGTTAAAAGTGGGCTAAAACGACATAAAAGAGAATATGGAGTTTGTTCCTAATCCTTTATAGACTTTAAAAAAATCATAAACTAAAGATTAATACTAATTCCAATATATTTTATATGATGAAAGCATCTACATAAGCATATAAAAGTACTAAAAATTTTCATGAAAATCTCTTCTAAAAATTTCTAATTTACTCAAAAAATAAACTATTCTATAAAATATTTAGAAAACAATGTCTTTTATTCCTTCTATTTTATTTTTTATTGAGCCGATATCAATCCTTCTCCACATTTATCTCTTTTGATAAAATTAAAGTACTTTTAGATGTTGAAAATGGATAGTAAATTTTAAATTAAAAAAATTTATATATGTTAATGAAAGAATATCAAACAACTACTTTTTTTGTTAAGTTTTAAAATTTTAGTCTTTTTTTGTGATTTTGAATTTTTGAGGGTATGTTTTGTAAATTTTGAAACTTTGTGAGTATTTTTTTTTTTGAAAATTTAAATATTAAGTAGGGTGTTTATAATTTTTATGTTTTATACGTTGGTAGTAAGTTTTCGAATATCAAAATATTTCTTACAACTCTGAAATTTTTAGGGTGTTTTTTATAATTATTAAATCTTTATATTGTTTTTTATAAAATTCAAAATTCCAACGATTTGCTGATAATTTCCAGATTTGATATGTACTATTTATAAGTGTTGAAATCTCAAGTTTTTCTATTACTTTTAACTTCTGAAGGAGATTTTTTACGAGTCTGCTGATAATTTCCTTTCTATTTCTAGTCTCATAGATTTTCTGTTAAATTATACATAGGAGTTAACTTGACAAAAGCCCCTTGATATTTGAGGGTTTTTGCTCATAGCCACTCCAAAATTTTTTATCTCACATAACCCCAAACTTTGGGCGTCTCATAAACCACGTGAGCTATAAATTTTTCTCATCGATCCATATGTAATTAACTTGTAATTAACTTGCAATTAACTAAAATGTCCTTCAGAAAGACAAAAATCTCAAATTTAGTCATTTGTTATTTACAATTATGTACCCCTCGCTCATCTTAACTATTGGTTTTTCTTCTAATAAATTTTTGGTTATTTGCAGATTATATAGATAGTAGGGTTCTAACGAGAAGAGTTTAAAGTTCAGGGCTTTTTGTGAGACACTCAAAGTTTGGGTGTTGCATAAAATTCACCCTTATATATATACTAGGTTTTATGCATGTGCAATGCACGTGGTTAAATACCATGATTAAGTATTTTTGATTTATTTTCTTACTAAACTTTGTTCCTTGGTTTTACTTTGATGGTTTTTACTCAGTTATGTTTCTAAACTTTAGAATTATGATTATTTATTTTCTGTAATGTTCGTTTAAATACACCCAATTTAAATTTTCATGTTTATAATCAAATTGACAGGAAATAAATGTAATCCGAAGCCAATTTGAATCATCATGTTTTTTGGATTGACATGAAACAAAGCTTGACCTGAGAAATTATAGTGTTACACAAGTGAAAAATACTTAAAAAATAACATTATAAAAGGGGAATGAATAATTAAAGCTAATACGACAAGATGATTGGTTAAAAGTGGGCTAAAACGATATAAAAGAGAATATGGAGTTTGTTCCTAATCCTTGATAGACTTTAAAAAAATCATAAATTAAAGATTAATGCTAATTCCAATATATTTTTATATGATGAAAGCATCTACATAAGCATATAGAAGTATTAAAAAAGTTCATGAAAATCTCTTCTAAAAATTCCTAATTTACTCAAAAAATAAACCATTTTATAAAGTATTTAGAAAATAGTGTCTTTTATTCCTTCTATTTTATTTTTTATTGAGCCGATTTCAATCCTTCTCCACATTTATCTCTTTTGATAAAATTAGATTACTTTTAGATGTTGAAAAGGGATAATAAATTTTAAATTAAAAGTTAAATTTATATATGTTAATGAAAGAATATCAAACAACTATTTTTTTGTTTAGAAAATAGTGTTTTTTATTCTTTCTATTTTATTTTTTATTGAGCCGATATCAATCATTCTCCACATTTATCTCTTTTGATAAAATTAGATTACTTTTAGATGTTGAAAAGGGATAGTAAATTTTAAATTAAAAGTTAAATTTATATATGTTAATGAAAGAATATCAAACAACTATTTTTTTTGTTAAGTTTTAAAATTTTAGTCATTTTTTGTGATTTTGAATTTTTGAGGGCATGTTTTGAAAATTTTAAAACTTTGAGAGTAATTTTTTTTGAAATTTGAAATATTAAGTTGGGTGTTTATAATTTTATGTTTTCTACGTTGGTAGTAAGTTTTCGAATATCAAAATATTTCTTACAACTCTGAAACTTTTGGGGTGTTTTTTACAATTATTGAAACTTTAGATTGTTTTTTATAAAATTCAAAATTTTAGCGGTCTGCTAATAATTTCTAGATTTGATATGTACTATTTATAAGTTTTTAAATCTCAAGTTTTCCTATTACTTATAACTTTTGACGGAGTTTTTTTACTACTTTAATAACTTTGAGGTTATTTTTTACAAATTTTAAATTCTCATGTGCCTGATGGTAATATATTGAATTCATCTTTATTATTTGCAAGTTTTGTAATTTTAGGATTCCAGGGTGCTTTTTTTATTATTTAAAATTTTGAGAGTATTTCTACAATTTTTAAAATGTTAGGGGTGTTAATTGCAAATTTTAAATTCTTCAAAGCTATTGTTAATTTTTAGATTTTATGTTTGTTATTTTAAGTTTTGAAACATCAGGATTTTTATTATAATTTTAAAATCTTAGGGTATTTTGTGTAGTTTTTGAACTTTTTAGGTTTTTTTTGTAATACTTCGTATATTATAGCATGTTAGTTTTAACTTAACACACTAATATCATGGAGCTATTTCATGTATTTTATTGATCTTATTTTTTTATGTTGTTGACCTGTAGGTAGTTTATGGAATTAGAATAGGATATAATTATGTTTAAGATAGATTAAGATTTTAAATGAAATATTCAAAATAGTGAAGGGTAATATTGATTATGAAAAACTTTTCCAAAACTTGTACTCTTAAAGGGTGTGTGTGTGTGTGTGTGTGTGTGTGTGTGTATATATATATATATAGATAATAATAATATATATATTATATATATATATATATATATATATAGGAGAGAAGAGAGAGAGGAGAGAGAGAGAGAGAAGAGAGAGAGATATTAATGTGTATCCTTGTCATAGGAGGGATTTCTCCTGACGCCTCTAAAATCACATGATTGAGCGACATTGTGGATGATCCGTTCCATTGAACTTGATCTACATATTATAAAACCCCAACACACCAAGTTTGGGTGAATCCGTCGTCGTTTGACCTCCATCGAGCCATGTGAAAAGTTCTATTCATTCAAACGCGTTAAAATTTGATATGAGTGGATGAATGATCAAGACGACGACGGGGTTCACCCCAAACTTGGTGTGTTGGGGTTTTAGAATATGTAATCAAGTCTTCAACGGAGCGGATCATCCACAATGTCGCTCAATCATATGATTTTAGAGGCGTCAAGGACGGAAATCCCCCCTACGACAAGGATACCCATTAATCTCATATATATATATATATATATATATATATATATATTATATATATATATATATATATATATATATATATATATATATATACATATATTACTATTTAAAACTTTAGATCGTGGAGGACTCCTTCAATATTGTTGATGTTTTTATAGGTTCGTATTTCTACAAACCGGAGAGTTTTTCTGTTAGATTATACTAGCTGAGCCACGGTGGGTGTTGATCTCAAAGGGAAACTACATCCGACAGTGAAGTTTCCACAAAACATACACGTCATTATCATCCTTGTATCAATAGGGGTTGATTTAAAAAAGAAAAAGAAAACAAAAAGAAAAAAAGGTAATAGTGAAGAATGCTGACATTCCTAAAGATCTTTTCAGTGTACCAAATAGTCAAATACGTCAAAATTTTATGAATATATTCAAACTATACCAAATAAGATAACACAACATCAACATTTAACAAAAAAAAAAAAAAAAAAAAAAATTTAAAAAAAAAAAAAAAAAAAAAAAGATTTCATTGAGATTAAACGGATGTTGCCTTTTGCCATACCGAACACAACCTAAAGCGTACGAGGTAATGTAAATGGAGCAGTTATCCTCAAAACTACTATAAAAATGATACTCTTTTTGTAAATAACGTGTGCCTTTTCAAAGGACCAAGGTGGTTACATTTAAGGCTAATAATTAAATTTTCTCAACTAACAAAGTTCGACGCTTAAGGACAATATTTCTAGTTAAACAGAATCAAAAGATTGATGTTTGGTCTAATCTTTAGGTCACCATTGTAGACCTCAGACTTACATTGCTTCGACCGAGGTCAAAATGGAGCGGTTATGTTTGCAAATTTCAGTTTTTTGAGGTTCAGGTATTTTTGGAGGCAGATGGTGACAATATTTCGACCGAGGCAGTTATCCTGAAAATTGGAAACTCGTTTGGTTTCTATTGTCCAATATCAAGAGATCATATCTTTAAGAAATCTCATACAAAACAAGATCACTGAAATCTGACAAAAAGCAAGGATCACATGAGAGGTGAAGGAAGTCGACGCCCGACATCCATCCATCCACGACGGAGATTGTAATTTACATACGAGTCACTAAAGAAAAATTACACGATACGTATAAAACATAACACATTCCAAATTATATATGTTCATAATACGCGCGAGATGCATATCTAGAGCTAGTATCTCAATTTGCAGAATAGATAGGCTTCTGCACATCACAGGCGAGCTATTTCATCACTACTCAGAAGTTACATGCCTGAGCGAGCAGTAAAACATGCGGTATTCCAAATACGTCCACAGTACAAACATGTCGCAAATACAGAAATCGATAGATATCTGCATGGTGCAAGCAAAACACCCCTCCAGCTTATTCTACAGGCCTCAACTCAATCCCCTGCACAACCAGTCCCCTCTTCCAATGCCCTCCTTTTATCTCGGTCAAGCTTATCTCCACCTCGCATCCCTTCCCCTCTTCAATGAAAAACCTCCCCATCTCTAGTTCCATCCATCCATCCCCTCTTGTAACTGGGCTCTGAACAGGACCGTCGCTGTCTGCGGGCCTTGGTGGCACACGAAACACAGCTGAGCGGCCCAACAGCGTCAGGCACGGCTTAGGTGGGTCGCTCACATCCGGCTGCAAGCACACATTGTGTTTGGAGATCACTTGAGATCCAATTTTGATGGAGGTCTCTTGGGTTGGAAACGTGAGGCCGTACGATCCGCGAACCGTGTTGAAGATGAGGTATGCACGGTACGTTGTTCTTGGAGAAAGAATGTCGGTGTTGATAGTGGCTTTGATCTCCAGCCAACATACAGATGTGAGCTCAGCAACCTCGGCAAACCTGATAAAGAGGAAAAATAATAATAATTCAATAAAGGTTCTCAAGATGGTTAGGTTCTAGCCCCTCAAATCATATGATTACCCTTATGCAAGCTATTGAAAGAGCTCCACAAATAAATTTGCCATCAAAACTTAAAAATATATACATTCTTTTGGACTCCCTAATGTAAGTGGTTTTGGCCTCATGAGCCAAATTTGTTACCCGACCCATTGAGAACCTGACTTGGTTGTTGAGAATAATCTCACAATCTGTGGGATAGTTTCAGTTGTAGATCGGGTCTTACGTAGAAGAGGAGAACGTGGGATATTGAGAGATTTTAGGGCGGTTATTTGGGGACGGAGGGGGGATGGAACGCCCATAAATAGAGAGGAGTTCCTCTCCTCTAAGTACAACTGAAGTGATCTCCACCGGAGTCCCCAAAAAGAATCAATCTGCTCTCGTTTCTTCACTGGTATCAGAGCTATCGATCCCCAAACCACAGCTTTCTTCTCAACAACCAAATCCCTAGGGCAAAAGATATCTCACAGATCTCCTCCCCCCTCCTCAGAGCTCGCCGAGGAATCCATCAGATCCCACACCTCCTCAAACCCCAGCCTCCCAACGTCCGGGGATCTCGTCGCCTCAGATCCCCTCTCTCAATCTGTCAACCACCAGCGCCCGTCCCGTCGACCAGCGTCGCCGCCCTACACCTGCGTCGTGTAAGGCATCGTTTTTTTGTTTTAGTTTTTGGGGGTCTGCTTGAAAACGGGAAGGGGTCTGTTAAATGGGAAAGAAATAAAAAAAAAATTTTGCTATGTTTTTTTTAGTATTCTATAATTAGCTAGTATTTTCATACAAAGATCTTCAATTTGCAGATTTCATAAAAGTGCTACAGTTGAAAATTCCGAATTTTTTTATTAATCTCTGTTTTAACTTTGATAATAATTAGCATTTATTTGCTTATTGTAATTAAATAGTTTATTCCTTTTTCTTGGGAATTAATTATATATATATATATATATATAATTAATCTTGTTGTTATTACACTTTAAAAAAATATTATAATAACAGTACATCTTTTAACCTTTTATTTATAGTTGTTTTAGTATCAAATAATTAAGTTTTTTTTTGTAAGTTAGTTTTTATATTTTAGCAATCTGAAATCAATTCCGTTTGAAATATCATACAGCTAAATTATCGTCATGGCTAGTAAGTTGATTGCATTTGAACTGGAAAAACGTCTTAATGGTTCCAACTATGATATGTGGCATAGGAAGATTAAGTACGAACTTATCCATGGCAACTTAAGGACAATAAGGCTAAAAGCCTAATGTTAATGTTCATGGAAGATACTTTAATCAAAATTTTTGAAAACTATAATACGGCTAAGGAAATATGGCTTGCAGTTAAAGAGAAGTATGACACTACCTCTGAGGTGAACATACAGCTGTTGATGCATAGATTTAATTCAAGCCGTATGCAAGAAGGTGAAGATGTTGCCGAACATGTGAACAAGATGATTGTAGCTAAGGACCTAGCTTCAGCAGGATCTGAAATTCCCTGAGAAATTGTAGGTGACAACTATTTGAATAGCTTGTCACCGTCATTAGATATGCTGCCACAACACTTAGGCTTAATGGAACCATTAAACGTGTTATTGACTTGCCAGCCCAGTTAGCAATGGAACATGATTTACTAACTAGGAGAAAAGATTCAGATGTGAACCTTGTGCAGCAAGAAGAAGCAAATGCAGCTCACTATCGCAAGGCACAAGGAACTCATCAGTTTGGACCTGTCAAACCTTCCTTCAAAGGACCTGGCCAGCAACGTGCTCACGGTAAGAAAGGACCTACTGAATCATGCTATATTTGTAGGAAGTTCGGCCACTTTAAAGCCAACTATCCACAAACGAAGAACAAGGACGGTCCCAAACGCCCAGAACAAGGAGGATCCGGTAAGCGGGAGTTCATCAGCGTCATTGAGTGTAATGCTGCAACTACTGACACTGGTGGCTGGTAGATTGATTCGGGAGCTACCCAACATATTGCAAAGACAAAGGAAGGGATATGCGACTTCAAGGAGCTGAAGAAGGGAGATCAAAGGATTTACATGGGGAACAATACCTACCTAGATGTTGAAGGTATTGGTTCGTAAAGATTAGATCTTGGGGACAACATCATGGTTCTCAAGGAAGTGTTTTATGCACCTGGCATAAGACATAATCTGATCTCCGTCCCAGCTCTCCTGAAGAAAGGCATTGAAGTTAGGTTTTACAACAATAGGGTCTCTATTGGAAAAGACAAGAAAGTGTTTGCTATGGGCAAGTTTGTACCCGAACATGATTTTTTCTGTCTTTCTGTTGTAAAACCTAAAATTTACAATAAGAATTCTGATTTGCTTTATTCCTCGTGTTTTTTATCTGATTTTGATCTATGGCATATAAGACTAGGACACCATGGTAATAGAAAGATAGATCAAATAATTAAAATGGATTTGTTACCAAATTTGATAGGTGTAAGGACATTACCCTGTGAACACTGCTTAACATGGAAAATGACTAGAAAGTCATTTTTTGAAGGTCAGAGGGTAAGTGAACTTTTAGAGTTAGTTCATTCTAACATTTGTGGCCCGTTAAGCGTAAAGACACGTGGTAATAAAGAATATTTTATAACTTTCATAGATGATTATTCCAAGTATCACCTTATGGCCAAAGTATAGCACCTTACGCTCTCTGGAAATTCTGAGCTCCGAGTCGTCGCGACCATTTCAGTTTTTTTCCACGCGACGAGAACACTCGACTACCGACGCGTCGTCGTAATAGGCCGATCATCCGCCGCGTCGGCCGGTCCTCGCCTATTTTCAAAGCTTCAGGCAAAGTATAGCACCTTATTGCAAAGTATAGCACCTTATGGCTAAAGTATAGCACGGAAGATATATTAAGGTGTTAAGAACTGATAGAGGTGGAGAATTCAATTCAAAGGAATTTAAAAACTATTGCATTCATTATGGCATTAAGCGACATACCACTATGCCTTACATGCCACAACAGAATGGTGTGGCTGAAAGGAAAATAGAACATTGATGAATACAGTGAGATGTATGTTGTCACATTCTGATCTCTCCAAGGATTTTTGGGGAGAAGCAGTATTGACTGCGAATTATATTTTGAATAATATTCCCACAAAAGCAGTCGAGTCAACACCGTATGAGATTTGGAATGGACACAAACTGAATTAAGTCACTTAAGAAAATGGGGTTGTGTTGCACATGTTCTCATTCCATATCAAGTTAGAGATAAGCTGAATCTCAAAACCTTAAAGTGTAGATTTATAGGCTATTCTGAAAAGTCTAAAGGATATAGGTTCTTCCATGAACCTTAAAGTGTAGATTTATAGGCTATTCTGAAAAGTCTAAAGGATATAGGTTCTTCCATGAAGAGAAATGAGTCATTGAAAGTAGAGATGCTACTTTTCTAGAAAATCTAGAGGAAAAGGAAAAAGTTCAAGAGGTAGTACAACATCTGCTAGACTTAGATGATGTTCCTAACGATGACCTGAACATAGTGGATGAAGTAAATCATCCAATAATAGAAGAGCCCTTAAATGAGAATATGCCTATGGTAAATCAACCAGCTGAACTTGTCCAACCTGTCAACCTTAGTGGTAATAAAAGACCCAGAACAACACCTGTATGGATGGATGATTATTATCTATATTCATGCGAATCATCCTGTTTCTCGGTAGACATTGACATAGATGAGCAAGCTGATCCTTTGAATTATGTGGATGCTATGAGCACAAATGAATCAGAACAATGGCTGGAAGCCATGAAAAGAGAGCTTGACTCAATGGAGAGAAACAATGTATGGGAGCTATGTGACTACCAGAAGATAGGAAGTCCATTAGATGTAAATGGGTGTTAAAAAAGAAATATCGGGTTGATGGGTCTATTGATACATTTAAAGCCCGTTTAGTTTCTAAAGGCTTTACTCAGAAGGCAGGTATAGATTATCAGGAGACTTACTCTCCGGTGGTTAAGTTTACTTCTATAAGAATTATCTTAGCAATTGTTACACATCTTGACTTGGAACTTTTCCAAATAGATGTCAAGACTGCATTCCTCAATGGAGAGTTGAATGAAGTAATATATATGAATCAACCTGAGGGATTTTAGGTTGAAGGATAAGAAAACAAAGTATATAAATTGAAGAAATCTTTATATGGTTTAAAACAATCATCTAGACAATGGTATCTCAAATTTCATAATAATGTTATCCAACATGGTTTTGTTGCAAATAAATTGGATAACTGTGTATATATCTTGAAGAGTGGCGGCAGTTTCACAATATTATCCTTGTATGTGGATGATATTTTGCTGGCTGGAAATGACATAGAAGTACTGAACAGAATCAAGTCAGCACTTAGTAGTGAATTTGAGATGAAGGACATGGGAGATGCATCCTATGTTCTTGGTATATAGATCCTTATAGATAGAAAGTCTAGAATGTTAAGTTTAAACCAAGAAAGGTATTTGCATACAATACTTAGAAGGTTTGGGATGCAGAATTGTAATCCTGCGCCAACACCTTTGGTTATGAAAAATCGGTTATGTAAAGAACAATGTCCTAGAGAAGGACAGAAACCGCTTAGTGTTCCGTATGCTCAAGCTGTTGGAAGCTTGATGTATGCAATGTTATGTACTAGACCAGACCTAACATATCCTGTGAGTTTGATTAGTAGATATCAAAGTAGTCCTGGTCTAGCACATTGGGAGGCTGTTAAGAGGATTTTGAAGTACCTGGAAGGTACTGTGTACCATAAGTTAGTTTATTAAGCAGACTCGCTTGAGTTGCTTGGTTACTCTGATGCTGATTTCGGAGGAGACAAAGATGACGGGAAGTCCACTTCCAGACATTTGTTCATTTTTGGTGGTGCAGCTGTTTTTTGGGGTAGTAAAAAATATGGATATGTGACAAGATACACACAAGAAGCTGAGTACATAGCCTGTAGTATGGCCACTACTCATGCAGTCTGGATAAGACGGTTCCTAAAGGACTTGGATCTCAATTTGGTGGATGGAACAATTGAGATATACTGTGATAATCAAGCAGCCATCAGCTTGATCAACAGTGGTGCAAACAGTTCTAAAGGAAAACATATTGAGTTACAATATCATTATATTCGTGATATTGTGGGAAAAGAAGAAGTCTGTGTGACTTACATTCCTACTAGTGATATGATAGATGATCCCTTGACGAAGGGTATCCCAGCAGGTACATTCATCAAACATGTTAGTTTGATGGAAATTGAAAATGTCTAAGTCAAGGAAACTTTCATGAAAAATGAAAGGAGACAATCATGGATAATGGTTGTACTCGGGTTATTCACGTAGAGTGAAAAATGCATATATCTCATGGATAGTGGGAGTATGAAATTACATCTTGAGTCACATCTCACGGGAAATGGGAGTGTGTGCTTGGAAATCATTTGGCCATTTCGGCCAAGTGAGAGATGTAAGTGGTTTTGGCCTCATGAGCCAAATTTGTTACCCGACCCGTTGAGAACCTGACTTGGTTGTTGAGAATAATCTCACGATCTGTGGGATATTTTCAGTTGTAGATCGGGTCTTACGTAGAAGAGGAGAACGTTGGATATTGAGAGATTTTAGGGCGGTTATTTGGGGACGGAGGGGGGATGGAACGCCCATAAATAGAGAGAAGTTCCTCTCCTCTAAGTACAACTGAAGTGATCTCCACCGGAGTCCCCAAAAAGAATCAATCTGCTCTCAGCTCTCGTTTCTTCACCTAAGTTGTCCCCTTTCTCATACCATATAAGAAGCATTTTCAGTTGTCAGATTGTGGTATAAATGGCTTTAAAGATGATAACAAATATAGAAAAGAAGGTTGTTAATGTTTGACATGATTAATGAAGATTAGAGTGGGTATCTACTAAAACTTATGCAGTTTAGTAGCGGATGTAGAAATATTTACTAATCAAAAAATAGTATTTATTTGTTAATCTAATTTACACGAACAACTACGGACAATTTTTTTTTTTTTTGAAGTTAGACCTACTGATTTTGTTTTTCCCCTAATAAAATGTCATCAAATCTCCTACAACGACCCTATTGACCGGCATCAATGGTATCAAACGGTTTACACTTTACGTTGAGTATTTTATATGATACAACTTCGTTGAAGAAAGGCTTGATTGCTACAGTGGTAATTGACCAAGTTAAAGAAAGGATTGATTCCTTCAACTGATGGTTGAAGGCAACTAATTTGTCAAGAGGAAGAAACAGTTTCAAGTGTAATCGAAGCAAAATATAAAGGGAAAAAGGAAAAGAATAACTTTCAACTTCAGTAACTCTCTCGTTGCGCAATGGATGATTATGACTTATTCAAAGTTAAAAGAATGAGAAGCACGTGCGAGTTTTGAGGTTATAATAGGATTGAATAATAGCCATCTAATCTAAATACTATTGGATGATTATGATTAAGTGGTCCACTTCGTTGAACAAAAATCATATCCTCTCTAATCAGTCAAATTTCAATCGCTCTCACTATCAAATTAAAAAATGATTGTGTGACACAACCAACTACAAAGAGAGAGAGAGAAGAAAAACAAATTCATGAACCTTGAGTTTTCAGCTTCTTTCCACTTCCAATACCGCGGAGCGTCTCCCCAAACAATTGAAAGCCCCCTCACAGAAGTCACAATCCGCTTCTTTCCACTCCCTTTATCCAATCCAAAACTCTGTATATTTTCCCCAAAAGTCAAAATATTTACCCAAAAAAAAAAACTATTCTTCAAAGAAGTGTAAATTATACGAAACCCCTTCATCTATCCAACGAAAAAAAAATTCTTTCACATATTCATAACTGTCTATTTGTAAATGAATGCAGCTATGAGGGGGGGAAACGGTATAGGATATTAAGTAAAAGCAACATGGATAGCCATGGCACTAAAATGGCATCCAGGGGTGCACAAAAATATCGTACCCGCGAATGTTTCCACGTCCGTACCTATTACTAAAATCTATAACCGGTAGGATATGATTACGTATATGGTTATGTAGTGAATTATCTGGATCCATGTTCGAAATATCTGAAAATATGTTGATCATGTAGTTGCAATTGATTTAATCCTTAATGAATGTGATACTAATTTTGATGATCAATTTCCATCAAAAAAATATTTTTTTTTTTGATGATCATTATATAATCTAGCTTACTCTAGTGTCATATGAACTATATTTTTTTCCCCTATATTATTTGGATTTCTCATATCCGTTTTGTATTCGCCTGCACACATATAGCGGATATGGATATAAGTTTTCCTCACCGAGGCATATCCATATCCGTGGATGGCAAGCGAATACAGATATAACACATCCAAACCATATCCGAACCGTTCCCACCCCTACTCACATCCATCAAAAGTTTACTCCATTGAAAACTGACAATTTTAAAAAGTAGGGCTGTTTGCACTTTGATACCCTAGAGTTCACATCTTTTTTAAATTTTGATATCCAAAGTAGGCGCATTTTTTACACATTTTAAAGTTAGATACTCCAAAGTTTACACATTTTTAACTTTGGTACCCAACACATTGCGGTATCAAAGTGTTAAAAACGAAACTTTGGGGGTATCGAAGTTCCAAAAAGATGTAAACTTCGGAGTATCAAAGTGTTGGGAGAAAAAATTTGGGGTACCAAAGTGCAAATGAATCTAAAAAAATCATAGATTAGGAAATTTTCTGGTGAACCCAAAGAGATAAAAGAGTATCTTGGAAAAACTAAGTACAGATGAAGGGGTTTCTTGTAATTTTTGAAAAACTTACAATGTTGCCGCCGTCGATGAGAATGGAATCGCAGAGGCGACGATAGAGCTCCTTCTTCGTCGAGAATCTCACCGGATCCACGGCCGACGATAGGATCTCGCGGTGGTCGGAGGGG